ATAGCCATTTATTGAAGAAGATACAAGTTACAAGAAACATTGTACGTGGACAATGACACCTCAGCCCCCTTCAAAGTAGGCACCTTGAGACCTCACACAGTTCTCCCAATTGCCATCAGCTGCCCAGCCAATTTTCCTGAATCTCATCAATGGTCTGAAGCCTGTTCCCTTTCAAAGGTGATTTAGTTTTGGGAAAAGCCAGAAGTTGCCAGGCTCCAAATTGGGTTGTAGGGGGGCTGAGTCACATGGGTAATTTGATGTTTCACCAAAAAAACTCTGCACAAGACATGATGCACGAGCGGGCACGTTCTTGTGATGAACCTGACCATCACCACTTGCCCATAGCTGCAACCTTCTGAATCATCTGAATAGTTTCCACTGAGGAATGTTCAAGCTTAATGCAAAACATGATGCAGATTCATTACTCTACTCAGTCATTTTGAATGTGATGGCCACAAAATACACATGCTCACTCAACAGTGTCTACCACCCCCACTGACTACTACAGTGAAGTCATTGTTGTTCACACATGTGAGATGTGTGAACATTCTGGAGGTTTTTTATTTTGTTGCTGTTTTCCTTTGCTAAGCCTTTTTAGCTTGATGTCGTCCCATTTATTTTTTCTTTTGTTCTTTATTTGGGCATATATATTGTTCTTTATTTGGGGATATATTTTGTTCTTTATTTGGGGATATATATCCGATAAAAAATTTGTACAAGCAGTATCTGACATTTTGCAATGGAATTCTACTTGGCCTTAGAAAAGAAAATTTTACTATTTGCCAACAGTATGGATGAACCTACAGAACATTATGCTAAGTGAAATAAGCCAGAGAAAAATAAGTACCATATGATTACACTCATATGTGGAACCTAATGAACAAACTGAACTAACAAGCAAAACAGAGACAGACTCCTTGAGGGAGAGATGACAACTAGTCGGGGGCAGAGGTGGGAGTTTGGGGCATGGTGGGATCAAGCAAAAAGGATGAAGGACTCATGGATGTGGACTACAGTGTGGTGGCTGCTGGGGGAAGGTGGGTAAAAGGGGACTAAATGGTAACAGAAAAAATACAATGAAGATCAAGTTTTTTAAAAAAAAATAAGACGAGTGTAACATACAGCATGGTGACTATAATTAATAATACTGGATTGTACATATTAAAGCTATGAAGCACGCCCAGGCTGGAGTAGTTCAGTGGATTGAGCGCGGGCTGCGAACCCAAGTGTCGCAGGTTCGATTCCCAGTCAGAGTATATGCCTGGGTTGCAGGCCACGACCCCCAGCAACAGCACACTGATGTTTCTCTCTATCTCCCTCCCTTCCCTCTCTAAAAAGCTAAAAACTTAAAAAAAAAAAAAAGCTATGAAGCAAGTAGATCATAAAGGTTCTCATCACACAAAAATTTTGTAACTACATGTGGTGATGGATGTTAACTAAACTTATTGTGACCATTTGTCTGTATAAAAATATTGAACCATTATGTCGTACACTTGAAACAAATGTCAGTTATATCTGAAGAGCAATAAATAAGAGAAATAAAATACTGAGTGCAAATGCAGTGAATTTAGAAATTAATTTGGGATGAATTATTTGAAATATTAGTGTCATCATCTAGGAAAAACAAGTCTCTACAGTCATTCAAGATTCATGCCTTTTAATAAGGGTTTGTATTTACACTGGGCCTGTACCTTTCTCATTAAATTTATTCCAAGGAATTTAATGAACTTTGTCACTATGTAGGGAAAAATTTTAATATGTTGCTTCTAATGCTAACTGGATATTGCCAACTTGTAGAAAAGCTTTTGATTTCTGTATATCATGTAACCAGCCAAATATCTGGTGTGGTCAATTACATTGAGTTTGTATTATTAAAGCAACCTTGCATTCCAGAGATAAACTCAAGTTAGTAATGACGCACAATCTTTTTTATACAATGCAAAATTGCTTATATTATTAGCAACTTTAGAATATTTCCATGATAGTCTTGAATGAGATTAGACTATTATTTTCCTTTCCTATTGTTTTGATATCAAGATCACATCAAGCTACTTAAAAAACAGAAAATGTTCTCTTCAATCTGCTTCTTGAATTTAGAAAGTTATCCTTAAGTCCTGATGTAGATCATACCTAACATTTATTTGTTATCTCTTCCTCAACATTGAGGCGTTTGTCAGTTATTGGTTTCTCAAAGAAGTAAAAATAAATTACTATGAAGTAAACAACTGTATAAATAATGCACAGGCTAAGCAATAGAATGCTGCCAGCAGCACCAAAGTTTACCATGTGCGCCTTCCTCATTTTCACACATGGGGGTTACACAATATTATGTTGGCTTTCAGGAAAATCATTTTCTTGCTTTTCTTTATAAACTTTTGCTAGATAACTTTGCGACTCTACACCATACAGTATCACTTTACCAATTTTTAAATTTTATCTAAGCAAAATCATAGAGTGGTTATTCTTTTATACTTGCTTTCTTACACTCAATAATTATCCAGGCCATTTCATGTTCATTGGACTTCATTTGGTGCATGACAAAAACAGTATATTATCTATTCTAATGTTAATATAAATTTCTGATTTTTCAGTTTCAGACAGCTATAAACATTATTTTACATGGATCATAGTACTTATAGGCTTACATGTCTCTGGAATAAATATCTAGGATTGGAATGGTTGGGTTTAAAAGTATGCATATCTTAAACCTCATCGGTTAATGCCTAAGTGTTTTGTGTTTGATTTACACTCTTACAAGCAATGCAGACCTTTCTGATGCAGACACCAGCCCACAGTGTCCACGTCATTATGGATGAAATGAGACATTCACATGGAGTACCAAGTCCAGTGGAGGAAAAGGGACAGCATGGCTTTTCTTTCAAGGGGAGCCAAAGCCACAGCCTCTGCCATGATAGGCCTTTATTGGGTTTCTCTGCCCATTACATGATGGTCCTCATTTACTATGCACAGGTTCACTTTAGGTGGTTACTTTTTACAGAAAACAAAGGAGCCAATGCTGCTAATCACATCACAGAAGAGGAATATTTGCAAATGAAAAGGCAAAAGTAGTTGAACCAGTTACACTCATCTTTGGAAGGTTTAGCATGGTTTTTAGGAAGTTGCTTTGCAGTAAATGTCAATTCAGGGTGAGGGAGTTTTAGCAAACAGCAAGACTCATAGCAACTTAGGTACATTGCAGGCCTGATTCCCCACAGGAGAACCTATCCGTGGATATGGGTCCTGTGCATCTCCCAGTGGCAGCTGGGCCCACACCACACAAAACGGTCTACTACACTTTCTGTTTCCCATCTGTACTAAGACAATATGGTGCATGTGCAGTGAAGAGCATCTTATTTGTACTTCCTGCATTACGTATGATAATCTTTTTTAATAGTTAATTTATTTTTTCCACAATTTATCCTCCCTATACCCTCTTCCACCTCCACCCATCCCCTCACCCCTACCGTCAAAATCACCAGTTGTCTGCCCATGAGTTCTTTTTGCTCGATCCCTCCACCCTCCCAGTTCTGTCAGCCTGCTCTTTATCTGAGTCTGTCTCTTATTTTGCTTATTAGCTTAGTTTGTTCATTAGTCTACATATGCGTGGGATCAGATGGTACTTGTCTTTCTCTGACTACCTTATTTCACTTAGCATATGTTCTCCAGGTCCATCCATGCTGTCACAAAGGGTTAAGATATTCTTAATTTTTTACATTTACACAATGGAATACTATTTAGCTATAAAAAAGAAAATGTATGAGAACATTTCTTAATAAGCGAATTAGCCATTTGGATTTTCTCACTTGTGAAATGCCTGTTTTTCTTTAGGGAAGTTTGATTATTCTGGTTTTTTAGTTATTTTTGTATTTTGGAAATGAATCCTTGTCAGTTACATATATTGTGAACACACGTATTCTGTGACTTCCACTCTTACAGAATGTCTTTTCAAAACAGGTAGTTCTTAATTTTAATGTAGATTTAACAGTGTTTTCCACTATAATGATGTTAAACATGTTAACAAGATTAAGCAATCTTTTCCAACCAAACAGATTAAGATACTCTCCTGTATTATCTAGTAAAATCTTTATAGTTTTACCTTTTAGATTTAGGCCTATAATTCCCTTGGAACTCATTTTTGTATCGAGTGTGAAGAAGAAATTAGTTTCCTTTCTCTTCTTTTTTTAAAAAATAAAGATACCCACTTTTCTCAGAACCATTTATTGAAGAGACTATCTTTTCCCACTGTTTTAAGTGTCACTTTTATCTCTTTGTGGGTCTTCATTTGTGATCCATTGCTTGTCTTCAGCACATCAAGAGTTCTAACTCCTCACTGTCTTCACCCCTACAGCTTTAAAATTAACCTTGTTCATAAAGGAAGTCTTTGTACTTCTTCAATTGATTGGCTATTTTTAACCCTTTGCATTTCCGTATGAATTCTGGGAATAATTTATCATGTTACACACACACACGCACACACAGCCTTTCAGTATTTTGACTGGCTTTGTTTGAATTTATAGTTCAATTTGGGGAAAACTGCTATTTTTCAATACTGAAATATATAATCCATGACTTAAATACTTCAATAATTGTTACGGTATTGTGACAGGTAACTTAAAAAAAAAAAGTATTTTCAACCTGTTTATGCCCGGTGCCATGAAATACAATTGATATCTGTATATTGATTTTTTAATCAGACTTGAACGACTTATCTGTACATCCAATAACGTTTCCAATGTCATGACTTGTCATTTCCTCTCCCTTGAAACCCCACAGTTTTGGAGACACAGCTCTATTCCCAACAAAATGATAAAAGCAGTATAACTTCTAACAGAAAAATGCATATATAATACAACTTTATATAACTACCATAGAATTCACTATCTCCATTCTACAAAGTTGATTCCAGATTAAAAAATCCTATCCCACACATAATAATGCTTAAAACTATTAATGGAGAAAGAAAGAAGCAAATAAATATACAAGCAAATACACAAGAGTAGAGGCTGATGCATGTGCTCATCCGGGTCGGTGAAAATTTGTCTAAAGAAACTATAAAACATAAAATAACCTCAGGTTTTAAGTATTTATTTACAAAATTCTTCCTAATACAATTGCTTTTAAAGTATAGTAATGAAGGTTCATTTACAATTTAAAAGTAACAAATATGTGGCAGAGAAAAAATCTATATAGTCAGTTAAACTCTTAAAGGAAATAACGGAGAATTGTTAAATGACAATTAAATGTTTGTAGTGCTCCCTAAACAGGTAGGAAATAATAATGCATTCATTCATAATAACTTGATTATTTTCTATTAATGACTATAAAAACAAAACTATTGTGAAAAATAACATCAAGATTTGAAAAATATTTTACAATAGCAAATAAATGTATTTCAACTTTACATTCAGTTATGGGACCTTAGTAAAAAGTTGACCATACACATATCTATGTATTTTACAGCAGACTAGTAAAACTGATGTCAACTTTAGAGTTATGTTATAAAGAGTATAAAGAATCTTTACCACAATTTCCGTGTGGTCATTCCTCAAAATAAAATTCCACACATCATCAAACTAAATCAAGATTTACTAGTGGCTAAAAAGTACCATAAATATATATCTATGAAACAGCTACAAGTATATACCAATATCATGTTTGTGCAAAATATTCATTATTTTTTAATCTCTCTGTCCTTATCTCAATTTGCAAAAGTATTTAGAAACAATCTCCTTTAACTGTTATTCTTTTTAATCAGGGCAAATCTTTTTAAACCCACACGCTAGATCTTAAAAATACTTGAGAATAAAACTGGAAAAGGAGCAATTTAAAAAGTACTTCAAACAGCACATATGAAACAAGACCCCACTATTTAATCCGATACCTGGTTTTGATCTAGTTAAGTACTGTGGTATCACTTAATTTCTGCACAAATTGAGATACACAAGTATGTATTTCCAAAATTCATTCATAGACACTATACAAAGAAATTCACAGCAGCATTTAACATAGACCAATAAAATTTATTTACTGTATGTATCAGGTTACAAAGCTACCGATATCATGAATAACTTAAACATACTGGTCTTCAAATGAAGGATTTCAGCAAAGAAAAAAATTACATCAAAAATCAATAAAACTTTCTAATAAATTAACTTGAAAAATGTAGGTTAACCTTACTCTTTAAAGAAGAAAATCAAATGACATAGTTTAGTGTTACCTATCTTATCTCCTTTATGCTTTCACCAAGTGCTAATGACAAGTACCATTTAAGTCAGTTTCTTATTTGCACATGAGATGTTAAGTGTCTGTAAGTAAAGTTTTTTAAACTTCATATCAAATGAGTTGTAGATCTACTTAAAGCATAACTTCTCCTTTCAAAGAAGGAAGGAAGGCTGACAAGGGAAGGAGATGGGATACCCTGTAAAGACAAGACAAATATTTTATATTTAAAATTTTTTCTTTTAAAAAATTGTAACATACAGTTTAGCATAATACATATCATTTTATATTTTATAAAATACTATAACAGTTAATTAACAGACATCTGAAAATTCTAAATTCTCTAAATAAATAAAAATTGAAGATTGGAGGGGGGAGAAAACATAATTAAAAGTATCTCATTATGAAAACCAAAAACAAATGGATGCACTAAGTTAACTACATATCAACTCAATGGAATAGATATTGACTTACTGGTAGTTATGGTACTTGTATGTGAGATTAATGATTCAGTATTTCAGGTGATTAAAAAGTTATAAATCAGTAAAAAGTTTTGAGGTAAAAAATAAACCCTAGTGGTTTCCTCTTAACTTAATCATAAAGCAGAATTAAGAAATTACTTCGTGAGGAATAATTTTCTAAAATTAAAAGCCATTCACTCATAAAAAGGTTTTATATTACATGTGCAACCCATATGTATGTATTTGTATTTGTGTGTGTATAATTTTGCCCCATATAAAAACTGAACAAAACATCAGTACTTCTGACAATAGATATTAAGCTACTAAGCTGTCTAAATTTGTTGCTTCTGAGGACAAAGTTAAATATCATCAGAATTTTAACAATAACAAAGAAGCATACACAAGAATACCAAAAATCCAACAGTGGGTATAAATCAAAATGAATTAGAAAGCAAGTTACTGTTTTATTTTCACATATATACGAGGCTAAGTGTAACTAAAACTCAGAACCAACAAGGTTCTCACCTACAAGGTAGTAAAATGAAGTGTTTAAAGAGCTGTGTTGATTAATGTACTACAAAGTAATGATTTAAGTAGAAAATATAAAAATACACCTTCCTGAAGAAAAATGTTTTATGATTTGCTATATTAAAAGCATAAATTTTATAAAATGCCATAAATCTAAGATTAAGAATCAGATTTGGAAAGAATCCCTTTCATGGCAATTATTACTGTTGCTTAAAATGACCACTTTCATACATAAGAAAATTTCTAGTAGCATTGATTTTTTTCTGGCCTCAAGCATAAATTACCTTGCAAAAATATACTTTTTAAATTCTTTTATTTTTAATATTTTATTTATTTATTTCTAGAGACGGTAAGGGAGGGAGAAAGAAAGAGAGAAATATCAATGTGTGGTTGTCTGTCATGTGGCCCCCAATGGAGACCTGCCTGCAACCCAGGCATGTGCCCTGACTGGGAATCGAACCTGCAATGCTTTGGTTCGCAGACCGAGCTCAATCCACTGACCTATGCCAGCCAGGGCTTTTGCAAAAATATTTTTATGTGTCAATATGCAAAGAAACTCTAATAAGCCTAGTTGTTGTGAATTCAAAGCAATTACAAAGTTGTGAATTCAAAAGTTCCCACCCACCTAAAAAGTATTCAGTGGAGAAAGAATACTTTTCTTTTTCACAAAAACAAATTTCAAATAGCTAATAAGCTCACATTAAACTTCATGAGGCTTGTTTCCATTACTGGGTTGGCATATCTCCTAATTCTTCACAAATATCAAAGATGAGTTGGATAGAACTTTTTTTGAAATTTGAAAAACCAGTATTTCCCAGGACTTTTAAAAACCAGGACTTTTGAGAGCGCCCACCAGTAGAGTTTGAGCGCTGAGCATAAACATGCTTAGTAAATCCAATTTTACTGCTTGTGGAAACTGAATGGATAATCTGTTAGAACAGAAATAAGCAATGGAGAAGAGGACATAAATGTCTAAAAGATATTTTAGATACTTCTTATTTATATTGTCTTCGTAAAAGTGACAAAACAATAAATAATACAAATTAATTTCCTACAAAATTCCTATAAAATCCAATTACCTTCATTTGAAAAGCAATGTTTACAATAGTTACTCACAGATGCAGGAAATAAATAAGGGATGGTTCTTTGTCCTTCAGAAAGTTTATAATCTGACTTTAATATAGAAATGCCTACTGTATTTTGTCAATTTTAATGTTTTTCAATGATCGAATTTCTTTAGATATATTTATATTATCAACTAAGTACAACTTTTCTCCTGTCATAAGGTTAACCTTGATCAAATAGCTATATAAACATGCTCAGATACGGCTGTAACTCTTTGATGTATTAACTCAAGACTTAACTAGCTGTAAAACAGTACGTTATTAAACATGACGTGTCTTATCTAAATGTCACACTGTAACAGGTAACCACTTATAAAACACTACAGCAGCCAGAGCAGTGACTCTCCACCATGACCCGCCAGTTAGGAATTTATGATTTAGTACAGCACCCTTTTCATCTTATAGACCCAATATGAAGAGCTGAAGAAGGGCATTTACTGGTGCAAGGAAAGGCCCTGTGCAAAACCCTCTGGGTGGAGTGATCTTATAGCATTTTTTAAGGAAATCAAGAAAGCTAGTATGGCTGGAATTGGGTGGGGAGTGGGGCAGAGGACATGAGTTGTAGGAAATTAGAGGGAGGACAGGGCTGGGGGAGACTGAGCATACTGCCATAGAGGGGTTTGATAGTCTGAGGATGCAGGGGGATTAATGAGGGTTTAGCTGAGAACAACAGGGGTTCTCTCTCAGGCAGCCATGGGGAATGTGAACGGGAGGCTGAAAGAGGATGGGGGAGGGGGACAAAAAACAAACAAACAACAACTAGAGCTCGCACTGTGTGCCAGGGGCTATTCAAAGGACTTTGCATAAAGTAACTTATAGACATTCCAGAGTTCGTGCTCTTAGTCACTACTCAAACTGCCTCACTATATAATCACATCATATGGAGTATGTATGTGTGTGTTTGTATTTAGTCCTTATATTAACACCAGAGGGAAGTACTATTAATCTCTTTTCCCTCATCAGCAAAAATGGTGATAAGATGATAAGAAACTTGCTAAAGGACACATAACTGACAGTCACTTGTAGGTTAGGTTAATAATTTTACAAAGATACATCACTCATATACTTAGTGACAGTAACAAATGTTAGAAATGGCCTTAATATTAATCATCTAATAATTTTGACACCATTGAAAGTTTGGACTTTTCAGAAAACATTTACAAATATAAATATGAATTTGGAACCCGTATCATCCTTAGACATCCACAGTTTCAGAGATTATATTCTACTCATCACAGAAATAGTAAAAAGAATAAAACTCAGTCTCTGTTATACAAGCAGGGGCAAAAGTAATTTTACAGTTGTACCATAATTAATAAATTATATATAAGAATAAAGTGTTTTGTGAACTCAAAACTGTAAATCTACTTTTGCCCACCCCTGTATTATTGGAACCAATCTGTATAAACAGAACCATTACTACTTAGGTGAGTAAAGTGACAGGCCAGATTGAAACATGATTTTTTCCTTAGAGATTGTAGAACATATCTCAATCCAAACAAAACTTCTTATCAAATAAACTACATTTAAAGTATGTGTTTATTTCATTAAGTAAGGTTTTCTCAGTTACCTGTACCCAATAAAAGATGTTAGAAGTTAAGAGATATTAAAAAATGATAGAGATACTTAATTTCCATCTTTGAAAGTTAGCAAATTCCATACTTACTCCATAAAAGTAAGTCATTTAGCCCCTTATATCAATGTCACTTACTGCTAATGATGATGTGCTAGACAGACGACTCAGTGCCTGCTTGTCACTGCCGTGAGGACTTCTTCCCTCCACTGAACTTTGCGACGGCATAAGAGTCCTTCGGAGAGCTCTTCTCGGAGTTTTGGAGAAAGAGAATGCTCTTGTAACCTAGAGTTAAAAAAATTATTATTAAGCCTATATAAATTTAACATAATTTATAAAAACAATTATATATAAACAAAGCCAAATAACACCAAAAGTTTTTGTATAAATAACACATAACGAGAAACTCTTCAAACAAAGCACTGAGAAAATGTAGAACAGTCAGTCCTCACTCGGCATTGTGGTCATGAACAGGTTCTGTGACTTCACGTGAAAGGACACATAACAAAATCTAATTTACTGCAGGCTAATTGATATAAACAAGAGTTAAGTTCCTATACTGTCTCATCAACATTACAATCAAATGATGCTGAACATAATTCAAAAGCCTGCTGTACACTTGCAATCATAGAGCACTACAGTCAAATGGATAAAAGAAAGTGCGAGCATAAACCTGGCATGGAAGAGAAGAAATGCGGGTTTTATTTTGTCTGATTCTGCTAAAATATAGTTGTGATCTCTAATCCAAAGCCATTTGAAACCCAATTTCTTTATTGAAAAAGTGAAGGAGTTCATTTGACTCATGATTTAACACGTTGAACTAAGATCTATCATACATGCTAACTGCTGGGAAATGCAAAAATGATTAAATAAAGTACAAGGCTTCCCCTCAAAAGCAAAAACAACAAAAATATGTAAATCTAGCAGTAGACTTTAGCTGAAATTTTAACCTGGACAGTTAAAACTCTAGTTCTACTTTTAAAAAGCCCTTATTATCAACATTCTTACATAGCTGTCAACAACCCTGACAAAGTAAGTAGGGAAGTTATCTTCATTTACACAACTGAAACATACTATGGTCAGGTGCAGATCCCAGGCCTTCTGTCTGTCAACTGCCCTTTGCTGAACAATGTCTGAGGCAATATTTAAGAAGAATGCACACACATATATACCTAAAACACAATCAGTATACTTCTACTGAAGTAGAGTTCACAGAAGTATCTATAACAAGAATAGGAAAGATATAATTACTTGTGCCAAGGTTGTTATAATTACTGTGCCAAAGAATTCACTAAACTAAAATTATCTCTGTGAACCATGTCTATCCCAAAACTAACTGTTTTAGACTATCTTTACACTGGTGTTTATGGCAGTATTATTTTAATTTACTCTGAAAAATACTTTTTGGAGATATGTTTAAAATCTCCACTAAGTCTCACCTTTTTTGAAGTTTTTTTTATTGCTCTAGATGCTCTACTCAATGTACTATCCATATCTTTTGTATTTACTTCAAGGGTTTCTGGATCAGCAGTATAAATAAGATTTTCCTGTTGAAAAATGAACATTTTTATTATTTTAAAATAAAACGTAAAAAAATACACAACTGTTTCTAAAAATCAAACCTTTAAGCACATATCTACATATGTGAGTATATGTAAATGAAGCCATTCAATATTTTTGATGTGCTTGACATAATTTCTATTCTAAAATGTACTAATTTAAGATAGTGGAAAATAAACTCGGTAAATAAAAAAATTCATTACAAGGACAACAGATACCAATGCAACTTGAAAAAGAACTTAATATAAAATCTTACTAACAACCCTAAAACTAACAAGTTAGAAAATTAGCATAATGTATATGCTTAAAAATAACGTCTGTGACAAAACCAATATCACAAACACTTTCCTTGAGAAAAATCTCAAATTTAAACTTACACTTTCTCCAACTTTTCCCTTTCATCCTCAATTAACATGTAGAGGAATTCTAAATTGGAGGTTCTGAACCTGTGATCAAGAGTTCAGAGAAGTGGCAATGCATGGAAATCAGGAGGTATGTAATCCCCTTAAATTATGTGCAAAATTCTGTGTGTATGTAAGTGCAAAGGACATTTTTCTGAGGAGGTTTAGATCTTATATCAGATTATGAAAGGAGTCAAAGATTTCACAGAGGCCAAGAACCACTAGCCAAAATTAACCTTAAATGAAACAAACAAACTCCAAGTAATTTAAATATTAGTTGCTCAGATCATGCTTCATCTTTCAGGAGAAAGCAAGTTAAAGCAAGTGTTTTCGTATATTCCTATAACAAATTTTCACTTTAAGTTATAAATCTGGGCCATGAACTGGCAAGCTGCCTCACTACTCTAGCGCAGTAGGTAGGACTGACTGCTCTCTAGCACTATCATTCCACTGCTGGAGAGAATTTTCTACAATTGTGTGGATGTTGGTTTTTCTGAAAATTTTCTCATCTGCAAAAACGTAGAAAATACTTGGTATACCTAACCCATTGTAATCATAAAGCTAAAACAAAATAATGCATAGTAGTTCTTTGAAATGAAATGTTTAACTTGTTCATAAACACAAGGTGTTGAATATTATACTCGACAATTTAAGTGCTTGCTTTGGTTCTTCAACACTAAAATCCACAGACAGCCTTGGTTTTTCTAAAGCTTCTTTAATTTAAAACAACCAAGTCCACCTTGCCTGCTCCAGACCCTCTCTTTTCAACTTGAACTATTTGCTAAATGACACAGAGTTGCTTCTCTATTCCCATTCAGGAACAGTACTTATAATTATCACTATCCTTTAAATACAATGTTACAATTTTTACTGAGTTTTTTTTTTTCTTAACCACATCATCAGAAGAAATTTAGAAAATTTTTAACTAAAATCACCCACACACTCTACTAACCATTTACTATTTACATTTTGGTATAATTCTGACAGAATTTTCCTACATGCATGAAATATTTCAACAAAATCGTAGTTATTTAACTGTAGTTATTTACTTTGGGGTATTCCCCACCCCATGTCTTTAAATATTCAAAAGAATTATTCTTACTGAACAGCTTATAAAAGCCTCTTCTGATTATACTAGAACTAATTTTATCATTTCACTATTTTTGAACACTTAAAGTGTTTACACTTTCTTGTTAGGAAATAAACTATTATAATAATATGAAAAAGATAAAATAATACTTAGGAAGAATTTAACCAAGGAAATGAAAGATGTACATGCCATAAACAACAAAGTGTTACTGCTGAAGGAAATTAAAGGAGACACAAACAAATGGAAAAACATCCTGTGTTGATGAACTGAAAGATTTAATATTGTTAAGAGGTCAATACTACCCAAAGTAAATTACATATTCAGTAAAATCTCTATGATTTTTTTTTCAGAAAAAGAAAAATTCGTTCTAAAATTCATATGGAATTTGAAGGGACCTCAAATAGCCAAAATAATCTTTAAAATGAAACAAAAGAAACAAACAAAACAAACAAACAAAGTTCAAAGTCTCAAGCTTCCTGATTTCAAAACACTACAAAGCTACTATGCTCAAAACAATATGGTACTGACGTAAGAAATAAAAAATGGGATAAATTAGAATAGAGAGCTTAGAATAGAACCCACAGCATCAAAAATAGTCAAAGGGAAAAAAGGGCAGTTTTTTAACATCTAGATATCCACAGGCAAAAATGAATAAAGTTGGACCCTTACCTTACACCATATATAAAAATTAAGTTAAAATGGATCAAATATCTAAATAGACGAGTTAAAATTATAAAAATTCTTAGAAGAAATACAGGAAAAAAGTTTCAAGGCAATGGATTTAGCAATCATTTCTTGGTTGATACCAGCAGCAGAGACAAAAGAAAAACAGACAAAGTGGACTTCATGAAAATTTAAAAATTGTATACATAAGACTCTATCAAAGAAAGAGTAAGATGGCAACCCCACAGAATGGGAAAAAGTGTTTGCAATGTATATATCTGATAGGGGATTAATATCCATAATATATATTCCTAAAACTCAACAACAAAAAATAAACAAATTAATATTTACCACCTATATTTTATTACAGGTTTTTTAAATGGCTTCACTTTTCATTTTTAATTCTTGAATCTACAGTTAGGAATGATAAGGTTAGTATATACCATCTAATTTTCTCTAAGTATTCATGAAATATCTTAGTACCATGTGTTAACAATTTTATTAAATTGTTATGGTCCTACATTTATCATACAATGAAGTCTTATTTCAAGAATATCTGTCCTTCCCACTGATCCACCTATAAATTTTTGAATCAGTGTAAAGTGTTCTGATTATTGTAACTCGAAAGTTACAATGTCTCATAAAGGAAGTACTATTTTCTAAATGTTCCTGTTGCTTTTTTAAAAAAGAAAATCATCCTTGAAATCATTCTATCATATTCCAAATATTTTCTATAGAATTTTATAAGGACTTCAATGAATCGACATTTTTATGACTAATCAGTATTCTCACTGAGGAACATTATAGGCCTCTTTGTAAAGTAGTTTTCTTAAAATAGATATCATTTGTTCCTTATAAGGATATTCCTAGATAAACTTATACTAAACCTTATTGAAAAAGTAGTATGTGATGCAGGGGAAGGGTCTTTATTTTCTACACTTTCTAGTTGGTTACTGCTGACAAAGAGGAAAACTGTTTGTATGTATCTATATTTATTTGACCAATAGTTTTCAATTAGTTCCTGCCAATCATCTAGACAATCACATAAAAAATTTCCCTGGCTGGTGTGGCTCAGAAGATTGAGCACTGGCCCGTGAACCAAGAGGTCACCAGTTCAATTCCCAGTCAGGGTACATGCCTGGGTTCCACGAGGTCCCCAGCTGCAGACTAGCAAGAGACAACCAATAGGTGTATCCCTTGCACATTGATATTTCTTTCCCTCTCTTTCTCCCTCCTTTCCCCTCTCTAAAAGAGAGTAATTAAAAAATCTTAAAGAAAATAACAACAAACCTCTGAATAGTTAACATCTCTTGCCAAACCATGGAAAACACAGCAACAAGGACTGTGATACAAGTTCTGCCTAACCCCGAGTCTCCCTGCATTATCTTAATGTTTTATATTAACATTCGTATTTCTACACTGCTGTATATATGGCAACATAAACTAAGCACAGCTTTAACTTTAGTTTTATGAACTTAATTTTGTTTTCATTTCATTCCATTTTCAATTTTAATTTCATTTCTATTTGGATTTCATCCAATCAATACATATATACCAAAAATCTATTTTTTGACAGAAATTTTTTATCTAGACATAAAGATACATTTTTTTAAAGATTTTATTTATTCGCTTTTAGAGAGGGAAGGAAGGGAGCAAGAGAGAGAGAGAAACATCAATGTGCGGTTGCTGGGGGCCATGGCCTGCAACCCAGGCATGTATTCTGACTGGGAATCCAACCTGCGACACTTTGGTTTGCAGCCCTCGCTCAATCCATTGAGCTACGCCAGCTGGGGCAACATAAAGATAAATTAAAAAAAAGTTTTGACACAGAATAATTTTTCTCTATTATGTCATATTTTCAAACCAAAAGGTAATTTATCAATGCTCAATCTGAATTGGTCAATTCATGACATTTTTTTAAAAACTGAGAGCTGAAAATTCCAAAAAAATTATCAGAAAACAATTGGAGATAGTAAGATATTAATTTAATAAAAACAATGGATTACAAATTTAACATCCATATATCACCTATATAGATTCACGTAAATAGAAAACAACTTATGCAACTCTCTCATTTATGATAGCATCTAGTATCATTGTGTCCTCACCCTTAGCCTGTGCCTCAGTGATTTCCTCAAACTCTGTAATCATGTTAATAGCTTAGAGTTTCTGATTTGGTCAAATTAAAGTGGTACCAATAACGGACATTTATATTAACAACTTACAATGGACTGCTAATAATCAGCAGAATAATTATAATTTTAAATAAAAATCACGCAAAGTCCATTACAAAGATTATTGGTTTAGGAACACAAACTCCTTTTATATATGTTCTGTCTTCAGTCAATTATTCCTTATGTAGTAAGAAATTCTAGTTCTACAATATTGAATATTATTGAATAGAGTGAATATTGCTACTAATAAGTAGCCAGTGGTGATTCATCAAGATGTAAGGATGAGTTTGATTTTTTACAGAAGTATAAATAATTAACAGTAAAAGTACTAAACTGTAGCGTAAGACATTTAATTATCCAGTTATTTACAAACTATTCAAAGTAGAGGAAGAGAGTGTAACATTGCTTAAATTTGTTAATAGACTTATACTTTTGCTATCAGAGGCTGGAAATCTGCAATGGCTTAAGAAAAGCTATCATCTGACCACAGATGATATATGAGCCTTAAGAGTACAGACAATGTAATTGAAGGTTATATGTAGGCAAGAGACCAAAAATACATACCTAAGCATTCTAAGAAAAAAATTTTCAACAGATTAAAATATAACCTTTAAATCTGAAACAACAAATATGGGACATCACATCCATGAGGAGAAAAACTATTGAGAGGGCTTAACCAAATAAGGATACCCAGAATCTAATGTTAGTTTAATGCTCTTGGCCTTAGTTTCACACATAAAAAATGTATTAGATTAAGTGTTCTTTCAGCTTGAAAATTTTAATTCTTAAGTCATTTACAAATGGGCATGAAAAATGAAATTAGTCTATAATAAAACAGCTATACTTACTCTTAGTTATTTAAGCTCCAATTATTTAGGGTACCAAAATATACATAATAGGGCAATAACTACTGATTCCAAGAATCAGAGATTTTTACCTTTTATGTCTTGTGTGTGTGTGTGTGTGTGGGTGGGTGGGTGTATAAATACTTTCTCTTCAACATGGCAAATGTTCTCAAATGATAAGACAGTGAGGCTCAGGGTTTTTCAAAAATTTACTATGTGCATTATTTTAAATTGGAGACAGAGTTCAACTGAAGTTAACAAATATGTGAATTTACAGACATATTTCTTAGTAACAAAATTTCACAACTGAAAAAAAATTTTGTTTAAGACAGTATGAAACAGGATATTGTTAAATGTTTGCTGCCATCTTGTGGCTAAGTTTACTTTATGGAATTTGTTTCATTAGTTGAGGTCTAGCATTATTAGCCAACTTATGGCCAATAATTTAATAGATTGTATTTTAAGCAAATTTTTCCATTAACTGAGGTCAGATGGTAGGTAGCTTTTTAAAGTCATTACAGATTTCTAACCACTAATGTCAAAAGTATAATTCTAATAACGAATGAATTTTGTTAATAAATCTATGTCACTTATGATTTATGATGGAGCCTATATATAATGAAGTTAAATTATCTTATAAAGGACCTATATTTCACTCAAGAGCTACAGGCTCTTTATACCAAACCTTATTGAAAAGGTGTATGTGTGAAAAAGAGCTACACATACCTTTTTGTAAGATTTGAAAATAAGATTTCAATACAGGCTACCCAACTTCTGGTAAATCACTTAACTTTGATCATTTGATTTTCTCATCTATCTCTACTTTAATCTGTATAGGGTAATTATATATACTATATTTATATATTCATAATGGCATTTGAGTTTAAGAGGCTAGACAAAGAAAACTAGATTGGCTATTTGCCCAATAGGAAAAGCAACTTCCTACAACTCATCTACTGCTTTCAGTTAGATTAAAAAAATAAAAAATAAAAAAAAAACACACAGCAGAAAAGAATACCTTCTATTTTACAAACAGCCATGTCAAAGGGCATCTGTGAAAATCACAGGGTACATTACAAGTCCCAAAAGCCTCACTAAATCAGAAACACAGAAACTATGAGGTTATGAGGACCTTTCTATACACTAGCAACTCATAGAAATGTTACATGTGTATACTTTTAAAAATTCTTTTCCAAAACAACTTATTAAACCAGCTTTTCTCAATATACACAAAACTAAAACTTTCCTATATTCATAATTAGTAAATTATTAGAAATGCACAGGTTTAGCTTGAATGCAATGCCATGGAGTTTAATTTTTCATTATAATAGGAGATTAAGAACTTACAGTATCTGCTTTACAAATGGTGTTGGCTACATGTCGACACAGCATCTTTAGCCAGTTTTCTTTTGGAAGTTCCTCTGATGTCATCTGGAAACTGAGCAGCACATTTGCCTGCTCTGTTGGTGGCCTCACCAGCAAGGCAAAAGCATTATGGCAATCTAGAGTTCCAGAATCATAAACATTGTTACCCTTGGAAAGTGACAGATTTATACAAGTTTATTCCTTCAGACCAACAATATTCCAATGAAAAAAAACTCTCTTCACCATCCTTCCCATCCCCTCTATTTTTAATTGGACAAGAGCATCACCATATTTCATTAAAACATTAGAAAGAATTATAACAGTAAGTACCATATGATGAACCAACAATGATAATTTGATACTACATAAATAATATTTCCCATGACATTAAATATTTTGTATGATGGAGGTTTTAAACAATTAGAATGAACTTAGAATCCTAAATTTGAGTTATAAATGACTATGTAAGAATAATTTAAAAATTCAACCTACCTAAAACCATTTGAAAGAAATAAAATGTCCAAATATTAAAACTTACAAAAAGTTTTGTGACCAAGATGTGGAACCTACTTCAAACAATGAAGTCTTTCATTATTATAATCCAAAAATATGGAAATTATTTCAAATAAATGTACTACACAACCCTTAATAACTCAAAATTTGACAAGTGAGTAAAGATAAGGTATTGTTCAAATTTTCTTTAATTGTTTCTATTAACCCAAAGCCTTCCATCTTTAGAGGAAACCATGCAGACACACCACTCGGTGCCAGGTAAATAGCTAATACTGTTTTGGGTAAGCATAACCTTTTGACAATTTCGGGCCTTCAGAGAACCCTCCCTGACACTACCAAAGTCAAGAGTAAAAGCTCCCCTTAGTATACATTTAACTCCATGTCAAGACTACCCTAGTTACTTTGGGTGTATTTACTCATGCACATCTATTCCTGGTCATAGCCTAACTGCATCCTTAAAAATGCAGCCATGGACAAACAGGGAAGGCAGAAGATGCAGAGCACAGGTAATAGACTAGTAATTTCTTTTGGACTGTGAAGAAATTAAAAGTTTGGTATGGGAACAGGCTAGGTTAGAATAGTATTTTGACACGTAACCAACCATTCAAAGGATGAAGATATTCCTTAAGTGGTTACATGCCGAAGTGAGATAGCACTTTTATTTGAAAAATATCAAAAACCAGGTCAGTTCCTAGAGACAGAGCTGGGATAGAAGTACAAGAATTACTTTACCAGAACTAACCAATTATATGTAAGGATAATTTAGCACTTACACATAAAACATAAGAAAGTGAATCAAACCTGCAATGAATAATTTTATTAGCCAATAGTTTATCCAATAAGCATACCTTCAGTCTCTCTTATGTCCAGCACTTTCTTAATTTGAGAAAGAGGCATTAGTTGAACATGCTTAAGAGGGGCTGGGGGTCGGGTATGGCCATGAGGACTCTTGAAAGTGCCAATAACCTTGTGGCGTTTCCTTGCTATCTGATTACAGAAAAAAAAACATAGTTAATATGAATAAAAAGACTAAAAACATAAAATATAAAATAGTACTAATCATATAAATCTATATGCAGTTCATCTGACTATCAGTCATTCCAGAATTGCTGTGATAAGAAGTTATGTAAAAAAATCCATACACATTAACTGTGCACAGAAATGCTCATGTTTATATAATAAGAGTTCAGAAGTCAGGAAACCAGGCCAAGGAACAGGATCTATGCAAAAAATCCCAAAGGTGTGAAAAAACATAGAAGCATTGTAAGAACTAAGAGGATTAAAGAACTGAGGAATCTTCTTGAGTTCAGGGAAAAAAATAGTTGCTCTGGGGTCTCTGTACTGGCTTCGAAAGATAACTGATATCAGTTAAAGACAAGAATTCAAGATTACCTCAGATCCTGAGAATAAAGGAGTTAAATTAAAAAAAAAAAAAAGGTCTGTCTCTAATATTTTCATACTGTTGAGAAAGATGACATTTAAAAGGTAACTATACAATATACTAAACAAATGATACAAATCATAAATTCAAGATGCTGTGTTAAAATATAATTTTACCTATACTGGGGATTCATGCAAAAGGAAGGGATAGGCAAAGGAACACTGGAAAAGCCAGGAGCAAAATCAGAAAGGTCCCTGTGATTCCATGATATACTTGAGTTCTGTGAATTTTATAAGGTCTCTCAAGTTATTGTTTTCATTTCCACGAAAGCCTGTTATGTTATTTAGCTTTTTTAAAAGAACATGACTTTTGAGATTATAATCAACTGAAAGACATTCACAAAAAATCATTTAGATTGGGTTACTTAATGAATTAAGATTAATTGGTCACCATCATGAATATGATAAAATGTGGCTGAAAAGTATACCTACCTGTGTTGGCTAATTAGAAAAGCCCAAAAGGCAGTCAGTGCCACATTCACACTGAAGCAGACATATGACACAGATCTATGTTATACAGCTAATATTAAAAGTTCACTTATATAGCCCTGGCTGGCGTAGCTAAGTGGATTGAGGGTGGGCTGCGAACCAAAGCATCGCAGGTTCCATTCCCAGTCAGGGCACATGCCTGGGTTGCAGGCCACGGCCCCCAGCAACCACACATTGATGTTTCTTTCTCTCTCTCTCTTTCTCCCTCCCTTCCCTCTCTAAAAATAAATAAATAAAATCTTTAAAAAAAAAGTTCACATATTAATTGAATGGAAATAAGCAATAAGGACTCTAAATATTTTCATGCATATTTAAACATACTTGTGTCAAGTTAAAAATCAAAACACAAGCAAAATATAAAAGGAAAATATATTCTCAAACACTAAATTATTTTAGATTCAGTAAAACATCATCTGCCATATTTAAGAGAAGTCATTATAGATTTTACCACACTCTTCATTTCCAATTTGCCTAGAGGTGTGGGTTTTATGTTTGCCTATTTGTTTTTTTAGATAAATAAGCTAAAGAATAAGAGTTCAGGATTATAAATCTTTAATTCCAAATTTAATGTTAAAAATAGAGCTGTTTTAGTTACTGAGATTCTGAGAGAGAGCAGAACAAAAAGTCACTGGTAAATGTAATGAGAGGCCAGAGTATCACATAATTGACTGAAAGCTACAGGGAGTAACAAATGGCAGGAATTAAAATGGAAAGAAAGTCAGTCCAGTTATAGAAGTCTTCATGGAATTTGAAGAGGATGAAAGATCAAAAATTTAAAGTTGGCCACAACTCTCTCAAGATTAAGAGGATAAAAACCAGAATGGATTAACAGTGAAGTACCTATAACCTAACCAATTAGGTGAATATAGCCAGTTGACCTAGGGACTTCAACAGGAAAAACAAAAAAGAGCTTTATTAGAAGCTAACAAATAGAAGTACTGACAAACTATGGACAGACAGAACCCCATGACAATGCAAACTGAAGTAAGTATGATTCATAATTGACTCTACCTAGCTCCTGTTCTCAAAAGCAGAGCAGGCCAAATTTCTTACTACAGAACAGACAAGAAGTCCTGCATTACCTGCCTCATGATTTCTTAATAACTTTCTCAGTTCTGGATATGCTCAATTGTGTACAGTATTTTCACTGTCTTTACTTTTGTGTGTTGTAACATTTCTGAACAAATTAAAATACTATTTTTAACTAACCTCACAACAAAACTCTGCATTAACACAAGTGAACTTTTGGTGACTGGGCATGATTATTTATTCTCTAAGATTCCCTTTCATTTTATATTAATATACACGATATAAGAGCACAACACTAGAAAACAAGTAGAAAAGAAAAAAAGAAAGAGGTATAGTCTTTTTAAAAGAATACTCACTGCATTGTTAGAGTGATATTACCTTGTTTTTTTTTTCACATAATTTAGGAAAATAAGCTTTTTATTTGAAGAAACCTGAAACCCTAATTTGAAAGAATATATGCACCCCTATGCTCACTGTAACATTATTTACAATAGCCAAGATATGGAAGAAACCCAAGTGTCCATCAGTAGAGTGGATTTAAAAAGCTGTGGTACATTTACAGAGTGGAATACTACTCAACCATAAAAAGAAAATCTTACCCTTTGCAACAAGCATGGACGACCCTGGAGAGCATTATGCTAAATGAATAATAAGCCAGTCAGAGATAGACAAGTACCATGTGATTCCACTTAATGTGGTAACTGATGAACAAATCAACTAACATGCAAAAGACTCATAGATAAAGAGCAGGCTGACAGCTGGAGTGGAGAGAGGGCAGGACAGAGTAAATGGGTAAAGAGACTGAGCAAAAAGAAAAAAAAAATAAAGAAAACCTCATGGACCACAGACAACAATGTGGTGACTGCTGAGGGTGGTCGGGGGGAGAGGTAGAGGAGGGCATAAGGGAGGGTAATAGTAGCAGATGGAGACTAGACTAAGGGTGGTGAACACACGATACAGTCCAGAGATGATATGTTGTAGAATTGTGCATCTCATAAATTCAATAAGAAGAAAGACAGACAGACAGACAGATAGATAGATAGATAGATAGATAGATAGATAGATAAGTAGGAAGGCCATCAAATCTCTTTAATGAAAGTAACAAAGCTACCCAATAATAGAAATGTCAAACAGGTCTTCTGGTTAATATCCATTTTATCAAAATGAACAGCTTTACCTCCTGAGATGAAGGAAAATACACTCCTTTATATACCCCATTAGGCTCTTTTAAGTATTTAAAAATATACTATTAACAGAATGAAAAAAAAAGAGTTGAAAAAGGACACAAATGTAATTCAGTTTGCTTGTAGAAATAATATGGAGGAAAAACTTAAATGAGAATTTTAGAATTAGAATCATTGCACACCATCTTATATACTCACCACTCACACTCTAAACCCTGCTGACTTAGAAAGAATCAGGGAATCACAGTTCATGATATTAAATAATCAAGTTATCTCTCTTTTCGAGAAAATACTGACTTCTTTGCTGAAAAACACTTATATAAATTTCAAAATAAACTCATAATTATTTTGTACATCGTTTATAAATATACATAAAAATAAGAAGTTCCTAAAATTCTTGAGTTATTTATTCGTATGACAATAAGCTAAATTTTCATTCTGACTTAAATTTGAAGTTATGAAAATTTATGCTATTTCTTAATATTAGGTCCTCTAAAAGCATTCCATTAATCAAAATTCGTCTCAATCAAAAAGTGTGATTATTTAAGTTCACTTACTTTAAACTTGTATTTAATACTTTAATCATAGCTTGGTCTTATACATTCAAGGAAGTCACACAAATCAGCAGCGTTAATATCATATTACGTACAGCTTTACCTCCAGGCAATCGTTGAAGAGGAAGAGAGTTACTTGTTCTCCTCTGTCACAGGGGTGCTCACCAAGAGAAATTGTTTCAACTCGTTGGACTAAGCTTCGGTGAGAAGATAAAAGATTAGCCTGTACAGATTGAAAATATTAATGGATCACTTGAGATAAAGGAATTGTTTAAATTATAACTTAAAAGAAAGTGGTGCCAAGATTCATTTATATTAAAATTATAGAATCTAAATAACAAGAAAGAAAAAAAGTGAATCATCAAAAATGAATACTTACTGGGCATCCATCTACTTCATAAACAACATCAAAAATTTGCTTTTGAGCTTCAGTTTTTCTCTTATCCTCATTAATATGTCTGAAAAATCAATAAGGTTATTTTTAAAACTTTAACTTTTAAAACAACAGAATATAGAAACTGCATACAAATACTTCTCATGTTACAATAAAAGTCCTTCCAATGAGTTTATCTTAATTCTAATTAACTGAATCAGTTAAAATATTCCCTAAAAGAAGCTATTACACTTACAAAAATTCCATAGACCCTTCCAAAAAAAGTATCATTTGCCATACTCCTTACTATGTTTTTTTTAAACTATAGTCAGTATATACTTCCTAAAATGCATTACAGTCTTGTCCCTCGCTATATCGCAGTTCACTGATTGCAGCTTCACTGTATCTCAGGTTCTTTTAAGCACACAATACAGTGAAGCAGCAATCAGTGAACTGCGATATAGCGAGGGACGACTGTATATTTCACTGGTGAGTATACATATAGAATTTTATACGTTGTTAAAATTACATAGGTTTAAGAGTGTATAGAAAGTGTTTAAGAGCATATGAAGTGTTTATAAGAGTATGGGAAAGGTTAACAAGAGAATGGGAAAGGTTTATAGGAGTGTGGGAAGGGTTTATAAAGCGTTAAAATATATATAAATAAAATAAATATAACACTGCTACTTTGTGGATTTTCACCTATCATGGGGGTCTCTGGAACGTAACTCCCACGATAGGTGCGGGATCACTGTATAGCCATATAATCTTCATTTTAACAGTTTTAAGTTAAGATTTTATTAAAGTTATTCTCAGGTCATACACTGATTATTTCATTGAAACAAAAACTAAGACCACAGCTTCCAGAAAAGATGAAATAAGAAAAGCATGTACCATATTTTGCCATGTATAATGTGCACTTCTTTTACCCAAATTTTTGGAAAAAATAAGGATGCGCATTGTGCATGGGTATAATAATTACGTGTATAATGTGCTCAAAAACATGGGTGTACATTACACACAGCTAAATATGGTACCCTTCTGCCTAAAACAACTAAAAAACCTTCAAAGTATAAAGAAACAAGGGTTCTCTAGACACTGGAAGTCAATTCCTGTGTGACAGGAAACAAGGCAAGTTGGCCAACTAAGTGCTGTCTATAAGAGACATATTTAAATTCAAAGACAATAAGATGCAAGTAAAATGAGGGAAATACGACACTCGACAATAGCAAAATGTACTTTCTTCTCAAGTGTGTATGGAACAGTTGCCAGATAAAGCCATAAAATAAGCCTCAAAAATTTTAAAGGACTGAAATAATATAAACTATGTTCTCTGAAAACAATGGAAAGAAATTAAAAATTAAAAAGGAAACTATGGAAATTCACAAACATGAAAATTGAAAGTATTTAGGTAAACAGGAAATTTGAAAGTACTTAGATAAATAAAAACAAAACACAGCATACCAAAATTTATGGGATACATATAAAGAAATACTTAAAAAACTTATACCTATAAGTGCATATAATAATTTAAAAAATTAAATCAATAACGTAACCTTCCATTTTAAGAAACCGAGGGGGGAAAAAAGAGCAAACTAAACCTAAGCAAACACAAGAAAGGGAGACATAAAGATTAGAGTGGAAATTAATGAAATAGAGAATACAAAAGCAATAGAAAAAACTGACAAAACTAAAACATGGTTCTTTGAAAAAGATCAACAAAACTGACATTTAGCTAAGCTGACCAAGAAAAAAAAAAAGAAAAAGACTCAAATTACTAAAATCAGGAATAAAATTCAGGACATCACTACTGACCTTAGAGAAATTAAAAGGATTATAAAACACAATGAACAACAAATTAAATGGCTAAGATGTAATCAACAAATTTCTAGAAAGACACAAAGTACAGAAACTGATTCAAGAAGAAATAGAAAATCTGAATACACCTATAACAACAAATTCAATTAGTAATTTTAAAACTTCTTGCAATAAAAAGCTTAGGCCCAAAACACTTCATTTATGAAATTCTACCCATGACCTAAAAAATTTATACCAATTCCTCCAAAAATCAGAAGAGGCATAAACACCAAGATACCAAAGCAAAAGACATTACAAGAAAACTATATACCAACGTCCTTTATGAATACAGACACCAAAATCCTCAACAAAATACTAGCAAACCAAATCCAACAACATATAAAATGGATTCAACACCATGGCCAAGTGAGATTTTTATCCTGGAAGTACAGGCTTGAGTTAACAATAAAAAATCAATTGATGACCCTAGCTGGTGTGGCTCAGTGGACTGAGTGCCAGCCTGCGAACGGAAAGGTTGCTGGTTCAATTCCCAATCAGGGCACATGCCAAGATTGTGGGCTAGGTTCTCAGCTGGGGTCATAGGAGAGGCAACTGATAATAATAATAATAATAAATGTTATCTCGCATATCGATGTTTCTCTCCTATCTTTCCTCTTTCCTTCCCCTCTCTCTAAAAATAAATGACTAAAATCTTTTTTAAAAAATTTTAAAAATCAATTAATGCAATATACCATTCCAACAGAATAAAGGACAAAAACCACATGACCACCTCAATAGACGCAAAAAAGCATTTGACAAAATCCAATGCCCCTTCATGATAAAAAAACTCAACAAACTAGGAATAAATGAGGACTTTCTTAACCTAATAAAGGGAATCTATAAAAATCCCATAGGTAGCATCATATTTAATAGTAAAAGACTGAACACTTTCCCCCCTAAAACCAGTAAGATTTGATGTTCACTCTCACAGCTCCTGTTTAACATTGTACTAGAGCCTCAAGCCAGAGCAATTAGAAAGAAAACAAAATAAAAGGCATCCAGACTGGAAAAAAAGAATTAAAACTATCTCTCTTTGCAGATAATAGGACTGTGTTTACTGTAACTCCTAAAGAGTTCTCTAAAAAAATAACTTAGAATTAAAACAAGTTCAGCGAGCTTACAGAGTACAAGACCAATATGTATATAGTTCTACTGTCTTTCTACACACTAACAGTGAACACTCCAATAATGAAATTAAGAAAACATTTCCACTTACTATAGCATCAATAAGAATAAACTATTAGGAATAAGTCATATGGAAATATTCACAGATCAGAAAATTTACTATTGTTATGATGACAATACTCCACAAACTGAAGTAGAGATTACACAAAATCTCTATCAAATTCCCCATTATTCTTCCCCACCTCCAGAAATTGACTGGCTGAATCTAAAAGCAAAATGCAAATTAAAGGGATCCAGAATAGTCAAACTTCCAGAAAAGGAGGAACAAATTTGGAGGATTCACACTTTCCAATTTTAAAACTTAAATTACAAAGCACAGAAATCAAAACTGTGTGGTACTGGCATAATCACAGATATACAGATACATGAAATAGAATTAAGAGCCTAAAAATTTAAAGTCAACTGACTTCCAACAAAAGTGCAAAACTAATTCAGTGGGAAAAGTTGGTCTTTTTATCAAAGAGCAATGAAACAAATTTCCATTAAAAACATATTGATCTATATATACCTTAACCTTATACCAAAAAAAAAAAACAAAAAACCAAAAACAAAAACCCACCAACCAGAAATGAATACTGGACCTATGATTTTCATCTAATAATTAAAAATACAAAGCTTTTTTGAAGAAAACAGGTCACTGTTGTGACCCTGGGTTAGACCAAGATCAACATGTCTTAGATAAAATCACAAAATTACCACCCATAGGGGGAAAAAAAAAACAAATTAGATTCCATAAAAATCTAGAACTCCCATTTTTCAAAGGAAATATTAAAAAAATAAAAACAAACCACAGACTATACGAAAACATTTGCAAATCACATATTTGACAAAAGCCTTTTTTAAAACAATTCTTTTTAAAAGAATGGCTTTTTAAAAAGAACTCTAAAATAAGAACCCAAATTTATTTTTTTTAAAGATTTTATTTATTTATTTTTAGAGAGGGAAGGGAGGGAGAAAGAGAGAGAGAAACATCAATGTGGGGTTGCTGGGGGCCGTGGCCTGAAACCCAGGCATGTGCCCTGACTGGGAATGGAACCTGCGATTCTTTGGTTCGCAGCCCGCCCTCAATCCACTGAGCTATGCCAGCCAGGGCCCAAATTTTTAAAAAGCAGACAAAAGATTTGGACATACATGTGTATATCACAAGGCAGATAATATGGATGGCAAGTAAGCACATGAAAAATGCTAACCATCATTTGTCACTAGGGAAAATGTAAGTCAAAACTACAATGAGATACATCACTACACATCCATTAGAAGTTCACAAATTAAAATGAATGACCATACTTAGTAAGAATATGGAGCCACCGGTACTCAGGTAGTTAACATACATTGTTGGTGGGAATGCAAAATAACACAACCACTTTGGAAATAGTAGGGTAAATTTGTAAACACTTCCGTGACCTAGCTATTTTTACTCCTAGGTATTTACCCAGGAAAAATGAAAGTGTATGTCCACACAAAGATTTATTCACCAATGTTCACAGCAGCTTTATTTGTAGTAGCCAGACACTGAAAGCAATCAAAACATTCACCAACATATGAATGGATAAATGTGGTATTTCCATACAATGGAAAACAGTAAAAGAGAATGAACTATTGATATAAGCAACAATAAGGACTACTCTCGAAATAATTATGCAGAGTAAAAAACAAAAGCCTGACAAAAGATAATATACTGTTTGATTTAATTTAGATAAAATTCTAGAAAATGCAAATTATACTGTTTAAAACAAACAAAAAAAAAATAGCCGTTGTTGCTTTGGGATAGTCTAGAGAGGGAGAAGCAGGAAAAGTGATACCGAAGGCTATTTATAAACTTTTACGGTGACAGAAATGTTCCTTATCTTGACAGTGGTGATGGTATTGTGGGAGTATATGTATGCCAAAGTTAATCAAAATATATTTTAAATATGTAGAATTAATATGCTGAAACTACTGAAACATAAATCTATAATAAATCAATGTTTATAAATTGAGTCTATGTAATTAATGGTGTTAGAATCCCATTTTAGGGGGTTTTGTTTGTTTGTTTTGCTTAAATAAAATAGCAAGGACCATTTAATTGGTGCTGTCTCGTTATTTCCTTTACCTAACAAATTATAGTTGTTTCAATCAACCACAGTAAGCATTTAATCCTTATGCCTATTTTAAGAATCTCAAGAATTCAGATATGGTCAAATTCTGTAAGATTTATACATCAGCATCACAATTCGACATTAAAATAACAGTTTCTATAATTCAACATCTATTAAAAATCTACTATGAGCAAGTCATTTAGGATAGAGATATATTAGAAAGATTTGTAAGGTCTCAAGATGCTTAATAATGTTGAAAAATAAGGAATATTTAATCATCCATCTTATGAATTTGGCTCATTATCCCTGGAGTGGTCCACTTGACACTACTCTAAAGGCGGCGACAGGTCTAATGAGTAGTCTATTCCCTAGTTAGGTTACTTCATAACCTGTGTTTATCAAAATCTATTATATATAAATAACAAATAGCATGTGCTATTATCAAAACAAAAGTGGTAGAGTATGATACACACTACATAGAAAAGTTGGGCAAGTTAACAACCTCTCAGTTTTTCTCTTTTGTGAAAATATGTTAGCAATGACTGCCTACTTCAACAGTTTGTTGAAACAATCAAGGTTAGTAGTGTCAGAGTCTGTTCAAGTATGAAGTGTTGAAAAAAACTATTATCCTAGCCCCAAAATAAATCAAAAGACTCACTGATGAACACATAAATACTAAATAAGCAAAAAACAAAACATGCACAGAACTGTCAGTAGCAAGAGAAACTGGTATTCACTACTTTGAGTGTTACTTTACTGTTGGAGCCTCATCTTGCAGCCAGTAAAGTTCCTCGCTAACAGTTCCTTTGCAAATATTTTAAGAAATATTTCATATTGATGCATCTCAAAATCTCAGACATCATTCCTTTAAATCTATTAAATATGCTGATATGTAAAGTCTTAAGAAATGAAGTGTTCTTGCCCTTTATGAGACAAAGCAATACCAACCTTCTTCTCGATTCTAATCGTAATAGTCAGAAAAGATCACTTCTGATCAGAACTATGCCTACAAGTTTATAACAATCAAGGCCCTAAGTCAATTTTATTGAGTTTATGCCTTTCTTACATCTCCAACCAACCCCAACAATTTAATCCCTTAAAATTCAAGGTAAGAAACAAAAAGCTAAAAGTAAAGTGAAGAGAGTATGATAAACATTTTATTTTTATTTCACTACTGTCAAATTCCCAAGATAAATGTGGGCAGTTTATATGAATATGAAGATAAAAATAAACTATGACTAGAGACATATGAAGAAAATGTCTATTAGTAAATTATAACATTTTCAATTTTGCAAACCATTGCTATTCCCTGTGCATAATAGTTTAATAGTTTAAGAAATAAATGTTTTTGATTAATCAATATTTTCTTATAACACTCTCATTTTAATGTGTAACTACACTATTAGAAAAATAGCTTCAATATTTTACAAGTATTTGTTGACATTCTTCTCTCCATTTATGACTCTAATTGTTCTATCAATTCCATTCTAAATCCAAGGAAGAATAAAAAATTGAAAAAATGCACTTACGTCATTACTTCCCTTAGTGATTCAATAGCATTTTCTAGAGTGCTTTTGTCAGGATTTTCCTCAGCTGTATGCTTCTTAAGGTCTGTAATGATAAAATGGTTTTTTCCATGATTAACAAAAATTTAGTGGTTTTCCCTCTAAGATTTAAAAACACTGTATAGCCTACAGCTATACCACCCTGAAGCACCTGATCTCATCTGAAAAATGCTGTCAAGGAGAGTATAAGATGTCCTCTGCAACATCTCCAAATGTGTCAACATCTGAATCATAGGGATGCCAGAAGGACAATAACAGCAAGATTGAAAACTTACTTGAAAAAAATAATGAAAAACAAAACAAAACAAAACAAAAAACTTCCCTAATTTGATAAAGGAAACAGACATACAAGTCCAGGAAGGACAGGAAGTCCCAAAGATATTGGACCCAAAGATGTCCACACCAAGACACATCATAATTAACATGCCAAAGGTTAAAAATCATGAGAGAGCCCTGGCTGGTGTAGCTCAGTGGATTGAGTAGACTGTGAACCAAAGGGTCACCAGTTCGATTCCCAGTCAGGACACAAGCCTGGGTTGCAGGCCAGGTCCCCAGTGGGGGTCACATGAGAGTTAACCACACATTAATGTTTCTTTCCCCCCCTTTCTCCCTCCCTTCTCCTCTCTCTAAAAATAAATACATAAAATCTTAAAAAAAAAAAGATCAAGAGAATTTTAACACATTTCCTACCGCTCACGAGTTTTTTTTTCTCGTGTTTTGAGCACCTCAATTCACAAACAAAAATGAAGTATAAACAGTTTCTGCTATCAGAAGAGTCTCACAAACAATGGGAAGACAAAGAAACAATCCCCAAATGAAAGGAAAGGAGGAAGTCTCAGAAAGAATGCTAAATGAAATAGAGGCAACTCAACTATCAGATACTGAGTTCAAAGCAATGATTGTCAGGAAGCTCAATGAGCTCACAATGAGATACCAGAAACTGCAGGGAAGCTACAATGAGCTCACTGCAAACTCTATCAACATGAAAAAGGAAACAGAAACTATCAACAAGGGCCAAGAGGAAATGAAGGACAGTTTCTGCTTTCGGTGGCCAGAGACTGGATAACGAATGACAATAATGAAGGCCCTCCAGACCCAGAGACAAATCTGTCTAGCCCTTCCCCTGGGGGTGCAAGGAGAGCACCTTGTAAAGATCCACCCAAAAGGTTGTCAGGTGATATGAAGCAGCATGCACCTGCGTGTATTCCATCAAGTGGAAAGAAAAAATTTCCTACAAGAGCCTGCAGAGTTTATGCCGCCCATGGAAAAAGGAGCGAATCTAGATATTTATGTAAATTTTGTTTGGTCCCTCTTCATAGAGGAAAATGTTTTACGCAGTACCATACATTAAAAAAGTACTAGGAACTTTAATTGTTTAATTTGTTGTTTAATTTTTTGTAAATAAAAATGTTATAATTATTGAAAAACAACACCTAAAGTGCATTATGATCTGTAGTTATAATGATTTAAATAACATGCAGTTTGCCCAAAAACGTGCGGTCCCTGGCGTATGTCTTAGAGATTTCTAAGAGGTACACAATGTGTTAAGAGCCACAAGAGAAAAGCAAAGTTACCAACAAAGGAGTTCCTGTAGGACTGTCAGCTGATTTCTCAAAAGAAACCTTACAGGCAAGAAGGGACTAGCAAGAAGTATTCAAAATGTTGAAAAGCAAGGACCTACAACCAAGATTGCTCTATCCAGCAAAGCTATCATTTAGAATGGAAGGGCAGATAAAGTGCTTCCCAGACAAGTCAAAGCTAAAGGAGTTCATCATCACCAAGCCATTACTATATGAAATGTTAAAGGGACTTATTTAAGAAAAGGAAGATGATCAAAGCTATGAACATTAAAATGGCAACAAATTCTCAACTATCAACAATTGAATCTAAAAATACAAATTAAGCAAACAAGCAGAACAGGAACAGAATCACAGATATAGAGATCATTTGGGGGGTTATCAGCTGGGAAAGAGAAGGAATCACCTCTTGCCTTGTGATATTTTTGGGTGAATGGTATGTTTACATAAGTATAAAATGATTTTAAATTAGTGATACACCATGAAATGTAAGAAGACTTTTGGTGGAGAGATAAAAAGTACAATACTAGTCAATATAATCGATATGAGAAAAAATAAAGCATTTTAAACCAGACTAAGTTTTTGTAACACAAGTGATTAAGATTATCCATAAAGATGTTATGTATGTAAAGGATATAAGCTTTAAATGCTGAAATCTAAGAAAACTATCAAAACAAAAATGTTTCCAATTTTTTAGAACAAAACCTTTCCATTAAATCATCCAAAGTGGTTTGAAAAGCGAATAGGCAAGTACCATTCAGAAGTAACACAACACTGGGTAACCTCTGTACTGGTCGGATGAGGAGTTCAACAAGGCTTTGCCGTCCACATTCTGGTTTAGCTTGGTTTATCTGAAAGAAATTAATTTATTAAACAATTTTTAACAAATGTTCTCTACAAACACTAGACACCCTACATTTATCAGATTACATGTGATCATTAGTACCCTGATGACTAATTGCAGAGGTGGGGTGGCATTTGTTCATTCAGTGGCAGATTAATGTAGCTAAAACATCTTCCAAGGCCTGAACTAACCTCCTGGCCAGCCAAGCATTAACATCTCAACCAGAGAGTGAGTTCCTCTACACACTACTATGTATTTCATCTTAAGCTACTCTTAAATCTATATCATTCACAAGATAAAATATTTAAAAATTAATTATGCTATCCTGACTGGTGTAGCTCAAGTAATTGTGTGTCGTCCCACAAACTGAAAGGTCTCCTGATCAATTCCCCGTCAGGGTAATGCCTGGATTGCAGGCCAGGTCCTCAGTTGGGGGCATGCGAGAGTCAACCAATCAATGTTTCTCTCACACATCAATGTTTCTATCTCTCCCTCCCTTACCCCTCTCTAAAAATAAATAAATAAAATCTTTTAAAAAATATTAATTATGCTGACACCATTGGAGAAACCAAATAAAGCATTGATAAGGGGGGATAAATCACTAAAGGCAAACAAAATCGCCCTGGAAATTTTTAGGTGTTTGAGAACTAAAACATGAATAATTTAAAAAATAATAATCACCATACACATTCTTATTTACTCAGCTGACTCTTGGACTTTGCTACCTAATATGTCAAACCTTCAGAAGCTAAACATCACTGCCACTCTCAGGTACAGCTAAAGTTAACAGATAACATCAAGGTGTCCTTACATGCATACACTTTTACTAAAAGCATAATTTTAATAAATTCTTTCAGATATTATTCTCAGATTTTTATTTGAAAGAATGTATATTACCTTCAGAAAAGCATGAAATCTTGGTTTCTGTTTTTCACATTTAATAATTGTTTCCTTGCTCATTTCAAAGAAGTTTACAAAGGGAGGGTAGGTTTTTACCAAATCTTTTGACTAGGAAGAAGGAAAAAAAACAACATTAATTTGTAATGTATTTCACCCTTACACAATGAAACTTAAAATCAATAATCAATAGTCACAATCTGACATAATTGAAGGCAAAAGTTTATAAGTTTCTTCTCATATTAAATAAAAAAATTACTTTATAAACTTCTCACTAATGAGTGAGTTAATTGCTAAACAAAATGCATCAACTGACACATAATGGCCTAGAACCTGAAAAATAAAGACTGGGAAGAAACAAAAGTATATTAAAGCTTACTGTACTGATATAAGTACTACAAGTTTAAAAACATCTATACATTAATTAACAACAAAGAAGCCAAGAACATATAATGGAGGAGGAATCTACAATAAATGGTGTTGGAAAAACTTGACAGCCCCATGCAAAAGAATAAAACTAGACTACAATCTTATACCATTTACAAAAATTAACTCAAAATAGGTTAAAGACTACAATGTAAAACCTGCAACTATAAAATTCCTAGAAGAGAACACAGGAAGTTAAACTCTTTAACATGGGTCTTCACAGTATTTTTCAGGATCTGACTCCAAAGGAAGGGAAACAAAGCAAAATGAACTGGTATTACATCATACTAAAATGCTTCTGCACAGTGAAGGAAACCATCATCAAAAGGCAACTACCAAATGGGAGAAGATAGTTGCCAATCATATATCCAATAAGGTCTTAATATCCAAAATAAATAAAGAAGTCATAAAATTCAACAAAAACCTGATTTAAAAAAGGACAGGAGAGAAAACTATACTTGAACAATGATTAAAATATAAATAAATAAATAAATAAATAAATAAATAAATAAATAAATAAATAAAAAAGGACAGGAAAATCTGAATAGACATTTTCCCAAAGAGGACATACAAATGGTCAACAGCACATGAAATGATGCTTGATATCACTAAATATGAAAAAAGTGAAAATTAAAGCCACAAGGAGATATCAATTCACACCTGTTAGAATAATTATTATTAAAAGTACAAGAAACAACAAGTGTTGGAAGGATGTGGAAAAAAGGGAACCCTGTACACTGCTGGTGGTACTGTTAAGTAGTACAACCACTATGGAAAACAGTATAGAGATTCTTCAAAAAACTATGAATAGAACTACCATATGATCCAGGAATTCCACTTCTGGGTAGTTTATCCACAAAATCTGAAAGCACTAATTTAAAAGACATGTGTACCCCTACATTCACTACAGCATTATTTACAATAGTTAAGATGTAGAAACAATCTAAGTGTCCATCAATGGATGAATGGATAAAGGTGTGGTTTTTTATATATATATATAAATATATGTAATGAAATAGTATTTAGCCATAAAAATATTAAATCTTGCCATTTATAACAACATGGGTGAAACTTGAGGGTATACTGCTAAGTGAAATAAGTCAGAAAGAGAAAGGCAAATACCATATTATTTTACTCATATGTGGACTCTTAAAAAAACAAAAGAGAAATAAACAAAACAAAAATAAAATCACAGATACAGAGAACAGATCAGTGGAAAGGGGCTCGCGGGGGTAAGCAAAAGGAAGGAAGAAGTCAATGGCATGGTGATGTATAATAACTAAACTTTTGGTCATCACTTTGTAACTGTATATAGATGCTGAATTACAATGTTGTATACCTGAAACTTGTATAACAAAAAAAGTTTTTAAGTTCAGAATATAGTAATTAGAATTAATTTATGCAGAACATAAGAACATGCTATTATTTTTTGAAGGACCCAAACCACCATTACAAGATTAATTATATTATCCAAAAATGCAAACAAGAAAATGAAAACTGTCTTGTCTAATTGAGGAAACTAACAGGTATCAAAAAGATGTGTGAGAATAATTTGCATATTTGTAATTCACAACCAACCAGGAAAAAATATATAAGAACATATATGGTAAGGGTAGAAGTTAGAAGGCCTCAGAAAACAAAAGCAAATGTGCCAGAACCCAAGGCACTGAAACTTATAAATCATATTTTAAAAGACTGAAATAAATTTATAAATCCTATTCACAGAACCTCATTCAAAATAAATTTATTTCAAAACTTAAGCTATGTTGTTCTTATACTAAAGAAAAGCAGTTCATTAGAAGCTTTTATGAAGAGTAGATACAATGGCAATAAAAAGGAGTATCAACTAAGGAAAAGTAAGAAAATTTCCAAAAAATCATTAACCTACCCATTTGTGAAGGGCAAATAACTTGATACATAAGAAAACGACTATAGTACAGTATAACAATTACTGTTGTTAATGATGACCTTGAGCTACTGAAAGAATTAAATTTTATTTTTTAAATACAATGATATCGAGGTTATAAAAGCTCTCACATTTAAACAGGTAACTTTCATTTCCTGCCAATCCTTTATGATACAATACTTTAATCTGAAAACTTAAAAAAAAATACTTACATATTTAAGAAAGATATCACCAATGCTTCTGCTCTCATCCCAATTAACAATAAGATCTTCAAGATCATCCTGAAAGAGCACAAATTAAATCATTTAAGACTGAACTTGACAATCCCTTAAACATCTTTTAATATTTTTCAAGATATTTGTTACAAGGTACTTTACATAGTGTCTTAATTTGATGTGAAGAACAGTAACACAGTCTTTCTCCTTAACAAGGAATTAACTTGAGAAAAACATGCTCTGAAAAAATCATTAAGAAAATACAGAGTAGCCCTGGCCTGGTAGCTCTGCTGGCTAGAGCACTGCCCCATACACCAAGGTTGTGGTGTCAGTGCCCAGAGTACATATAAGAATCAACCAGTGAAAAATGCATATGGGTAGAACAACAAAATCAATGTTTCTCACCCCTGCCTACCTCTCAAATAAATAAAAACACAGAGTATCAAGCCAATAAGAAGACTAAGCCTAACTTTTCATTATGATGTGACTGTTCAACATCTTTTATTAATTATAAAGCTGACTGGCATTATTTATTATAGAAACTACTTTCATTCCTGCTGCTCAAGTACCACACAGAAAAAAATAAGAGAAAGTTAAATTAAGTTAAATTAAATTAAAAGAGATAAGTTACTTATAAGAGTTCAGCTAATCCTGCCCAAAACTTAACAATGAAAGAGTCATACATGAAAATCATGGGTCCTTCACTAATAAAAAATTTAAAAGAACAGCATTGTCTTACATAATTTTAGCACTTATCTAAATACAGAGAATCAAATGAAATGAACTCTAAGTCCCTTTCAGCTTCATAGTTTTTCAAACAAACCAAAGGACAACCAAAATTCTACAACCCCAGAGGGACAAGGGTAGAAAAATAGCACTGGCAACCACATGGCTCTAGGAGAAAACTTTGTATGGTCTTAATTCCTTATTTTCAGGATTAATTGAAATAAAAAAAAACAACAAGCAAACAACATTAACAATGCACTGGAGCAAAAGACAAATCAGAAGTTCTAGATACAAAATTTATTTAGCTAATCAGAAGGACTTGAAAAAATCTTAATAAATATACATAACTGAAAATTAATTACTATGGACCTAATGTATACAAATTTACCTTTATCTTACTGTGCACATCAAAGATATCTGGTATACTACCAAAAATAGTCTTAATCTCTTCCGGTGCAAGGATAGGCCCACCACGTTGTCCTTCTTCTTCTAATGGTACCTGAAATAACTAAAAGGTCGGGGGTGGGGGGGTAAAAAACATTAGTTTAGGTAGATTGCATGTTGCGGGGAGTGGGGAAGCTAACACACAGACAGATAAAGGGGAGACAAGATGTTAATGAAAATTTTTTTAAATACTTCTATTTAAATTTGAGATCTTTTTCCAACATTTTCTATTAATTTATATATCTGTATATATGTGTATATATACTCTTACAATAAAATGTTATGTCAGAATCTAATCAAAATTTGTTACACAGTTCTAAAAATCATTAAAATTGTTAGTACAAGAGTAATTTCTATTTTTATTCAAGTTACTAAAGAAGAAAACAGTTATTCCAGACTTAATATAAGTACTAAATGTTTTTAAATAGTAGGCACAGTACCTTGGTTTAGGAAAAAGAGACTAGATTTGAAGACCTGCCTATATCAATATAAAAAAAAAAAGATAAATAGCTCCTAGAATTAACATGTGCACATAAAAAAGTCAGAGGATACAAGGTCAGTATGCACACATGCAGGAAGGACACAGACACATCAATCATATTTCTATATACCAGTAATGTACAAAGGAAACCAAAATTTAAAAAGTATCATGTATGATAAAAAAGAAAAATACTTAGGCATAAATATATAGCAGGTCCTCAAATAACATCATCTCATTATAATATTGGTAAGATGCCATGAACTTTGAACTTAACTATTATTTATATCAATTACTTTATGGTAAAATTGGTTTTATTATATGTTGTATTGCTTAAAGTCGCAGAACCTATTGATGATGTTAAGGGAGGACTCACTATAATAAAACATATACATGATGCTGAAAACTAAGGATACTGATCAAATAAGACCTAAGTAAATGAAGAAATATATGGTTATGGATTGAAATATTCAACACAGGAAAAAAGTGAATTCTCCCCCAAGATACTCCATGGATTTAACCAAAACCTATCAAAATTCAAGACATTTTGTAAATAAAGAAAACAGAGTTCTAAAAATGTATATGGAAAGGCAAAGGAACTTCTTAGTATAAACAGCAGTATTCAAGACTGTGTGGTATTGGAAAAGGGAGAAACATGCAAGATCAATAGCAGAGAACAGAGTTTGAGTACAAATCCACACAAATATGAAGTAATTTTTGACAAAAGTACAAAAGCAATTCAGTGGAGGAAGGTTAATTGTTCAACAAATGGTATTAGAACACCATTTGCCATAGGCAAAAAACTAAACCCTCAAAGTAAACCAAGTTACCTTTCTGAAATGCAAGTCAAATTAGTATCACATTCCTCTCCTATAGCTTACAGATGACACAGCACACTAAACAACAGCCTTCACTGGCATGGCCCAGGCAGTTTTATCTCAACTCTCACTGTATCCATACCCCATCCCCTATCCAGGTCCCCTTATACACTCTAAACTCTAATTTCCCTTTAGACTACTGTAGATACCATGACGAACACATTATCTTCAATCATCTGTATTATTTGCAAAATCTCAAATACATTTCCCACCCATATTCTTTGCATGTACCAATCAGATTCAAATTTAAAATCCAGTCCAACTTTTTCCTTTATGATGCTTTCCCAATACTCAACCTATCAAGAATTTCAATGCAACACCTTTCCTAAGGTGAAAGAGAAGTAAAACTCACCTTACAAATCCCCAAATATCTTAACTAAACCTTCTCATGATACCTGTAACCTTCCACTAATATTACAATTTGGTATGTATACTCTAGTTCCTCTTCCAGTCTATGCTCCTTTAAAATAAAAATGCTCTTTAACTCCTGGCACAACATTAATTTAAAATATTATTATAAATTTTTCTAATATTCTGGAATACTTTATATTCTTCCATATTATATTTTATTCCGGATACTCACTTAATTTGAGGGTTAAGTTAAAATCAAGTTATTCCAAATTCAATTTCAGAAAACAAAAAGAATACATCAGTCCTAAAATAAAGTTCCTAGAAAACACTATCATAAATTTCAACCACAATCTCTTAAATGAAACCTTAGGTGAGGTTATACTAAGTTGTATGAAATTTTGTCTATAGTTTAATCATTCCAAGGGCTTTTTTAAAAAGGGGTTCTGGTGAATTTAATTTATATTCAAATTATAATTCTGAAGCTCCAATACATTTACCATGGTGTGAAAGGATTTACATTTCTAGGAAATAAATGCAACCAAAGTACATGAACAGTATATACTGAAAGGACAGTCTGCTACTCAAGTACATTTTGGCTGACTACAAAAACTTAAACAAGAAAGTCATCCAAGTATGATATTTCCCTTGAGGAAGAAAAGAAACACTGACTTAAAACAAGTAAAGTTTAATACAGCTGAAGGCCTCATAAAACCTTGACTACTGGTACACAAATTAACTGTGAAAAATAACCTCTTTCTTCATTAATACCAAGAAAGAAGTCTTTCCATCTCTTATCTATTTCTTTTTCTTTTCTTTTTTTTTTTAAGATTTTATTTTATTTTCAGAGAGAGGGGAAGGGAGGGAGAAAGGGGGAGAAACTTCAGTTAGTTGCCTCTCATACACCCCCAACTGGGAACCTGGCCTGCAACCCAGGCATGTGCCCTGGCTGGGAATTGAACCAGTGACCCTTTGGTTGGCAGGCCAGTGCTCAATCCACTGAGCCACACCAGCCAGCACCATCTCTTATCTATTTCTTATCATCATCATCTTTCTATTCAAAGACAAGTTTGATGGCATAAACTTTATTTTCCTGACAAACTATCTCCTTCATTACCTAAAACAAATGTATTCCTTCTTTCTACAGATTCCAAAATAATTATGTCCTATTATGTCTTTCAGAAACTTGAATTTCAATTTACTCCTTAATATATTCTTCATCTCATATTACAAGAATTCATTAGAATTGTTTTCCTTCAGAAATAACTTCATAGTACATGTTAATAGTGGTAAGCTGTGAATTAACATTTGACCAATCCCTGCGAAGTTTAAGAAAACTTGACATATGAAAGGATTTTTTTAATTTCTGATATCCATATTGTTACACTTCATTCCTATTCCTTTGTCACATATGTACAGTACTACCTAAAGTGATGACTCATACACTTTCGGAAAAAGTTATCTACCACTTCTAAATATAAATAAATCCAGTGTCTTGAAAAGGAACCTGCAAAGTTCTGAATTAAACTAGGCCCCCTCTATGATTATCTAATCAGGATCCTTTTCTCTTTAAAATCACTCTAAAAAATGGTGCCATTACTGCTTGAATAAAAGCTCACCCTGGTTGGTGTGGCTCTGTGGATTGAGTGACAGCCTGTGAACCAAAAGGCTGCTAGTTCGATTCCCAGACAGGGCACATGCCTGGGTTGCAGGTCAGGTTCCTAGTTGGGAGAGTGCAAGAGGCAACTGACCCAATGTATCTCGCACACATTGATGTTTCTCTCCCTCTTTTTCTCCCTCCCTTCTCCTCTCCCTAAAAGTAAATAAATAAAATCTTTAAAAAAAAGAAAAAAGCTACCATTACAGTTATGGTATTTTCGTAACAGCAGTTTTTGCCACGCACTTTCATTTTTAATATCTATGTCAAATTCTATGCTTATGTAATTTTTCTTGTAAGACGATATCTCTTATATTTTTTACTTAGTAACACTGGAGCAGAAATCATTTTGCAACCAACTCTTACCTGAATAATTGTGGTCAATATATTTACATAATTACTTTCAGTCTGATAGAGCTCTTTTGCAACTTGCCACCTGGCTGACTGCTTTGAAAGAACAGGAGTAGAATTTTGGGGAGACTTAGTACAAGACTTTGGTGTTTCTAAAAGGTAAAAAAGGAGGAGTGATTTAAAATGCAGGCCAGATACAAGTACCAAACATTGCACAGATTTAACACAAAAAGGGAAGAATACCAATTCTTATAAATATAGCACCATACAGATATTCATTGAAGTAAAATTTCTTAAAATGAGATCAGAAAAAAACTGTCAAAAATATCAATGACTCCAAATTGACAGACATTTCACTAATATTAGCCTGCACTCTTCGAAAATGTCCAGGTCATTACAAACAAAGACTGAGGAACTATTCCAGATTAGAAGAGGCTAGAGAAAGATTACATAACCTTTAATCCTAGGTTGGATCCTGGACCAGAAACAAAAAACTTTTTTCTTTTGCTAGAAAAGACATTAGGACATTAATGGAACAACTCATAAAATTTGAAGGTCTATGGAGTAGATTATAGTATTAATGTTAATTTCCTAATTAATATAAGAAATGTCCCCACATTTTGGGGAGTACAAATTTAAGTATTTAGAGGTAAAGGCATAGCATATCTGTAACGTACTCTTAAAACTGCAGATATTAAAAATGTGTGGGTGGAGAAACAGGAAGAATACAAACAAATGAATGAATGAATGAATATTAAAGCAAACATAGTAGAATATTTCCATTTGGGAAATCTGAGTAGAGAGTTCAGAAAACTTTGTATTATTTTTGCCATATTTTTGCAATCTGAAATTATTTCAATATAAAAGCTTAAATAAAATGAAAAGCAACATGTAAAAACATTTAAGTTATAAAAAGAGAAAGATATTACTACGATTACACAATTACAATAAAACTTTTTATGTGTGTATATGCGCATGTGTGTATGTGTGCGTGTGTGTGTGTGTGTGTGTATAGAGAGAGAGACAGACAGACACTCCCTAAAAAAATAAAACCCTAAAATCAACTGCAAATTCTGTTGGTTCAAAGTATCCAGTCCAGCCAAAACTACAGAGAGGATGCATTCATGTATTTTACATGTATTTAAAAAAATTTTTAAAGAAACTTTATAAAAGCCTAAAATATATTTTCTTACTATCAATATGGTTAGTATATTTCAACATTATATACAGAATCTCCTAATAGAAAGTTTTACAATAAGAACAGGAATATATAACATAAAATAGAAAGACATGAGGAAGACACTATATAGTCCCACCACACCAATTTTACTGAATAAAAAATAATTTTAAGCATATTAAAACAAGTATGTGTACTATAGAGTTTTGAATGCTTTCAGAAGATAACAGACTTTCAAAGAATTCCTCACTTGCCTTATTTCAGGTTACTGTCACCAGACTGAGAAGCCTCTGCCATTAAGGGATATTTTTTGGGGGGGAGAGGGGGACTGATACATACTGATCTAATTTTATTACTATGTCTAGGCAGTGATCTACAAACAGGGATTATATTATACAGTATCTAATGTATTAGTATTGTCATGTCTCATTTTTTTAGTGGTTCATTTACCTTTCCTACATCCTGTATTAGATAATCAAGCTTCATCCTTTATAATCAGCTCTTACTACCCCATGCCCATATGTCCATAATTACAGAACCAGTAAAATTCTCAGATCTACGTATCTATCATAATTCCCTGCACAAGCACCTGACTGAACTTTTCCAAATGCCTACTGGACATTACTCCCTCAATTTAACTTGGATGTGCTCTAAAACTCACTATCTTCCTTCAAAATATAAACTTGCTATTTTTGCCAAGGTAACATTTCTCCCACTTTATACTTTGCTGTCTTCTCCTCTTATTCTCTTCCTATCACTCCATTCTATCTGTATTTTCCCAATGCTTCTTTTCTTTCCAATCCTGATTCAGAGCCCTATCACCTATAGTCCAAGCCACTGGATATTACTTCATGGTCTGGCTATCTCTAAACTGCCTTCCATCTGATCATTCTCCAGAATAATCCACTACAAATAATCTATTCGATTAGTCTGGTGCTCATGAGTTTCTAATAGTCATTGTTGATGACAATATACAGTTCAGACATGCCAACTTGATTACAAAGCCCTCTAATATTAGGACCCAATTAACCTTTCTAATTAATTATTATTTCTTCTTACTTCTATTCACTATTCCCTAAAAACTATATTCTCGTTCCTCTTATATTCTGAAATACACCTCAGTTTTCTGGGCCTACCTTAAAATGACTTTGATTTCATGAATATTTAGTGATTACCTACCCTGTACTAGGCACTGAGAGTACAGCAAAGAGTAAGATAGACAAGGTTCTTTAACTACTGCTGAAAACAACAACCAGGTGATGGGTTGGCAGGAAGGAGTGGGCTTAGCATTACAGAGAACCCAACAGAATTTCTTTAAGGCAGCAAAAGCAAGTATAAATAATGTCCCTGGGCTATGGATATAGTAGAAATATTCAAAGAAAAACAAAGATAGTAGGACTGAAGCTTAGAGAGTATCACTGGAGAGAACATGACACCACATGATGTCAGAGGCAGATAAGGAAGAATTACATAGGAACTTGAAAGCTATAGTAATACAAAGCCACTGAATGCCTTCAGACAGAGAGACATGATCTAGTTTTTTTAGTTTGAGAGACCACTATAAGTGTTACATGTACAAAGGCAAAAATGGATATATAGAGACCATTTAGGAGACCACCGAAATTGTCTAAGAGAGACCTCTTTTCTACAGAAAAAACAAAAGATGACAAAGGAATAGCATTGACAGTGGTGGAGAAAATCAAAAGTTCTAACTTGATTATGTTAAGTTTATGACATGGATAAAGAGATATGAAGCAGGCCATTAGAGAAGGAGGACAATAACTTTCAGAGTAATCAGCATATGTTGTTAAAACCATGGAATTAAATGAGATCATTTAGAGAATTAAAATAGAGAAGAAACAACACAGGAATAACATTCAACATTCAGAGCTTGATATAGGAGCAAGGTAAAGGAGAATGAGAAATGAGTAATGTACAAAAGCCAAGAGGAAAAAAATGTGTCCAGGACTAAGTAGCTGTTCATGTATTGAATAATATGGATGGCATAAAAGCGGTCATCTCCCCAGAAAGAGGCAATTTTACATAGTGGGGGGGCGAGGGGGCAGTGGAATGAAGTTCAACTGGAATGGGTTGAAAAGACAGTGAAAAGCAAGGAAATGAGATAATGGGTCTTTGAAGAGCACTCATGTGAACTGGAGAGGAGAAATGGGATAACTGAAGAATGTAATGAGATCAAAGGAATCTAGAAAACACAACATATTTGTGTGCTGGCTAAAAATAAAAAAATTTGATTATCAACAGAGAAGAGTTCATTGTAGAAGCTTTCTTATCTCAATTGAGAACAAAGTGAACTCACCACTTCTGACCTCATTGGACCCATTTTCCCTATAATACACCTGTGATTTTGTTTAGCTCATATGAAGAATCTGCTCTTTGAACATCTCTGTCACTTTCTAATGTGTGACACTAAACAAGTTATTTCTCTAACCTCAGTCTACTGATCTGTAAAAGAGAAATAAAACCTATCTTATAAATACACAAAATATAAAAAGCACTTAGCATACAGTAGGCAATCATTAAATAGAAGCATTTCCATGTGCTTGTTCTCCTCAGCTAGAACAAAAGTAATTAAAGACCATTTAATATTCACTATAAGAGATTTATCTATACTTTAATAATAATTCCATTCCACTAAAATGTACAGATAAATTTTTTAAATGTGAATTACCTCCATAGTTAATGCTACAGTCTGGTGTGTTGGAGATATCTAGGAGTGACCCTATAGAAAGGGAATGATCAGCTGATGGGCGCTTACGGGGAGGGAAAGGTGATAGGTCTGACTCTCTTGAAAGCTGAGCCAGTGTCTCCTTCAAACGACGTCTTTTGCGATTGCTGTTTGGAGTACTTAGAGAAAGCAGTGACACTGATTTCTTGAGCTCAGGTGTATTAGCCTGCAATCAAAAGCACAAAAGCTCAATTTCACTTCCATGGTTCTTTACTGAGACAGCAACAAAAGAAAAACATATTTATGGGTCTGACAAAACCTGAATTTTGCACAATTTTACAACTACATACTCTGCCAGATAATTCAGAATCTTCATAAAACACAACAGGCAGGGGACCACTGTAATTGCCTAACTGCTAGCATCTCGTTCTTTCTCTTCATAGCACTATCACCATTACATATTCATCTATAAGCTTGTTACTGTCTATTCCCTGGTTAGGACATAAACTCCCAGCAGGCAAGAACCATTCATATTTTGTTCACTGTATCCCTAGCATTTAGCACAGTGCTGAACATAGTGCTCTCCTATATCTGTCTAATAACAGCTGATTTTAAAAGCTCTTTCTCAATATCTAAAACATATTTTTAAACTTTGTTAAGAATCTAACATTAAGTCTGAAAAGAATACAATACTCACCTGCTGTTTAGATTTTATAGACATACAGTAAATCTACACCTCATCTTCAATATTCTTTTCAAAATTATTAAATCCCAAACTGAAGCAAATCTTCTCTTGGAGCCTGCTTCTATAGCTTTATGCCACATTTTGGCAAATGACAGCACTTTTTACCAAGATCCAGGATGAAGGCTGGATTTTCCTTACCTACATTCTACTGGTACAGTCATTTTTTTAAAGGACGTCTTCCCCTTAATATTAAATGGTTCCCAATACTTAATAAAATCTAAACCTCTACAACATTAAAAACTTAATTCTGTCCACCTAGTAAGCTTTATCTGTTAGCCTTGGTTCCCACATTCTTTTCTAAAGCCATACTGAACTACTTGCTATTTTAATACACTTTCAAGTTTTCATATGAACTCCTACCTACAGTCTAACCTGAAGGTCCTTACCAGGTTAGTCTAGTAATTTGGCTCAATATTTATTGTTCATAATACCACCAGGTGTAAGTAAAGATTGACATACATGAGATTAAAATAACATCATTACATTGAGTGTTTTCACCTGACTATATACAGACTCCTAGCCCATATTCAATTGTTCTCAAACTCCTGACGTGATGTAAAAGATGACCTGTAGGCTAATTACACCATGTTCTTTCTGGGTAGAAGAGTGTCATCTTTATATAATCCGATTCACAGAACAAATGACTAAGGTACAAAAAAAAAAGCATACCTTTTCATATAAGTACATAGTTTCCACAGCTCGGGCATCCATTTGAATGCTTCCCCAGAACCACTAGGTGAGAAAAAGACATTTTAATTAAGAAATCAACTTATCAGAAAGCCAACAGTAGTATTTTTAAAAAAAACAATCTTATTTCAGAATTACTTGCCTCTTGCTTGACAACATAAAGTTCCTTTGAAGGTTCAAATGGAAGTTCTTTTACTATATTCTCTTCAATTATAAGGTGAGTGCACCTGTCATCCCCAACCGGTAAGTAGCTACCTCCTGAAGAAGAATGCATACAAACATAAATAGGGCATACTATCTTCAAACCCAAATTTTTAAAGAAGCAAATTCACCAGGAGGTCATTAGGCAGGAGTGGGAATAAAACACATATATAAAACCTACCTTGCATTTCAGTCATCTCTTCCATATTAGTTTTTTCTTCATCTGAAAATCCAAGGAAACTTAAAATGCAATCTTGAAATGGAGGAACTTTAAATTCATTCCTGAAATCATCAACTGATGCACAGAAATCCCTAAAAACAAAACATGTTCTTCTAAAACCAGTTAACTTAAATTCAACAAATCAGACACAGCAATTTATAATTCTCAAGGTTTTAGCATAATCCATTTATTGAAAATATTTTATATCCAGTCCTGAAATGTTAACAAAAATTTTAACATTTTTAACAACCACCCCCCCAAAAAAGTTAAAAAAAATTGATGTGCCCTCAGTCATCCTGAATTAACTTCTGATAAAATTTGATCATAGGTAATCTTTACAAGATTCAAATTTCTGCTCCATACATGAAATTTTATGTGCATTCCAGGGGCTCTAGTTTTTTTTTTTTATAACTAATCTGTACCATAGGATTTTTTTAAAGATTTTATTTATTTTTAGAGAGAGGGGAAGCAAGGGAGAAAGAGGAGAGAAACATCAGTGTGCGGTTACTACTTGCGTACCCCCTACTGGGGCCCTGACCCACAACCCAGGCATGTGCCCTGACTGGGAATCAAACCAGTGATCCTTTGGTTCACAGGCCCACACTCAATCCACTGAGCTGCACCAGCCAGAGCTGGCAGTTCTAGTTTTACAAAATCTTAAGTAACGAAGAAGTATAATAGCATGGAATTATAAGGTTGGAAAGCTTACAAAGGTTATGAATTGCAATCACCACTTAAAATGTAATCAGAAAAACATAAAATAAAAAAATATACTATAATCCAAACATCCAGATGCATTTAGCTATTATTAAAATTATTACCTAATAATCTTAGAATATTTATGATAATCAAAATTATTTCACAAGATGAAGTACAAAGATAACCACAGATATCTTTCAATTTTCAATATTTCCTGATTTTTTTATAACTTTGCCCTTCCTAGCCTTTATTTCCTAAGCTACCCAAAGACTGAATTAATTTTTCTATATCGTCTATGAATTTAGGGTTTGGAGCATGAGGGTTTACCTTTCTACAAGACAGTATGTCTAATTCACAAATTGAACTACTGAATTTTTTAACACTTACAGTTCATTTCGTCTTTCCCAAGCTTTATAAATCCATTCTGGCTTCATAATTGGAGTACCCAGGCTCACAGCAATCTAAAAATATAAACATTAATTACTAATAATTTTTACTTTAAATAACTGCATTCATGGTAGTTCTAAACAATTACATACATATTTTTTGCATGGTTTTAGATTATTGTTCATCTGCTTTGTAACATAATATAAAGAAAAACAGAAAAAAATGTGTCAATCATACAACTTAGGTTAAAATACCATATTTTGCCATGTATAATGTGCATCCCATGTTTTTGGTCCAAACTGTCAGGGAAAAAGAAATCTTTCATTTTAATTTTTTAACTCAACTTTTTGTTTATATATAAAACTGCTTATTGTGTTCCAGGGTATTATTTTGCATACAGATATTATTGCTTTCCAGAGTTATACTTTTAACACATAAGCATAAGTAAAAGAATTAAAAACATTTATATAGATATGGAATCAGTACTACCCATGTATAATGTCCATCCTTATTTTCCCCTCACTTGGGCAAAAATGTGCACATTATACATGGCAAAATACAGTAACTTTAAAACAAGTTCCATGTTGTCCAAACCATTTCCTTACTTTTAATATATCTCTAAATTGATTCAATTCACCTTTATTATATTTCACTTCTACTTTAATGCTCACTATCTTGAAAGAACTGACCCCCAAGACAGCACTACAGAAGACATCTAAGTAACTAAAATCTTCAGTATGAATCTTCATATGAATCCCCATACTTTCTGAAGTTCACTGTTACACATAAGAATTCAACGTTACACTAAAATTACCATTTATTACACAGGTAAGACACTGATGGAGCATGGAAACAGAGAGACAGATACTGTCTCTTCCTAAAATACATATTGAAGTGTAATCTTAAACTAGGATTTTAATCCTAATAAAAGTAAATACTTTCTCTTGTTCTTTTAAATTTTTCACAAGTTAAATCTTAGAACCATTTTATAAGAACACAGCTCTGCTCTGTTCCTAGAAACACCACTTGGACAAGAGTGAAATATTTGTTCTCATCACTTCTCAACCCCCTCATTCACCAATACATATAGTAACCTTTGTTAATATTATTAATCTGCCTGAAATATTATCCATCTACCAAGCTCCAAAATCCTACATATCTTTGAAGACCTAACCCAAGTTCCACTGCCACTTTTAAACCTGACACCACACTCATTTTATGATTTCAAATTTTTACTATATGTACACATAAAACAAAAATTGAATATCTGATCTTTAGTAAATTGTAGGAGAAATAGACAAGAGTGCTATTATTAAATGCATTCCCAAATGATGCTATTCTGAAATACACAAAAATATCCAAGTTTACATACCCTGAATTTTTCTCCTTGAGTACAATTTGCCACCAAATGTGTAACTTTTGAATTAAAGTCTTTTCGAATAAGTCCACCCATGTGATGAACCAATGTTGCCAATCTGACCTCAAAAGAAAAATTAAGCAACACTGACTTTATAGTTAATATAAACAAAATTTTAAACTATGTTTACAATTCACTTAGCATTTACTGAACACTTTCAATTTATAAGATAGATATAAAGAATTTTTATAAAGATACAAATTTTATGGTAAAAAAATGAAGATTTGTTTGCATTATTAGCACAGGCAAAATTATATATAGTGAAAAGCTAGTAAAGATAACACAAAACTTAGTTAATTAAAACTGGCTTTCATACAGCCTAAATATATTACTTTTTTTTAACATGAGGTTACATCATACCAAGATTCTTTCCACAAAACTAGAGTAATACTACATTAGTTCCAACATAGAAAATTCCATAAATAAAAGAAAGAAGTTTTTATGAATTCTATAGGGCAATAAGAACTCTGTAGAGCTGAACTTGTATCACAAAATATTGCAATGTGTAAACAAAAACTTCAAATAATATGGCTGATAGGATATGAACAAAAAGACAGTATAAAAAGATTAGACAATTATGAATATTTCTGTTGATTCATATGCTACCCATCCTAGAAAAAATATTTGTTTCTTTACAAGACTCTTCAGAATGTTTCTTCACAAAATTTAAAACCTGGTATGATAATAGTAATTTCTCCTTTAAAACTTTTAAAATGCACGCTGGCTGGCGTAGCTCAGTGGATTGAGAGCGGGCTGCGAACCAAAGTATCGCAGGTTCGATTCCCAGTCAGGGCACTTGCCTAGATTGCAGGCCACGGGCCCCAGCAACCGCACATTGATGTTTCTCTCTCTCTCTCTCTCCTTCCCTTCCCTCTCTAAAAATAAATAAATAAAATCTTAAAAAAATATTATTAAAAAAATTGAAATGGTCACATTAAAAAAAAAACAAATCTTTTAAAATGCAACTATGGTACAATTATTTTAAAAATGCCAATTTAAATTTTTTTTCTGGAAAATATATTTTTTGAATAGAAGTTCTGAAATACTTACTAATTCTTCCTTCTTCCTAAATCCAGCAAAGCATAGTACCAGATTCATCATGCTTGTACAATAGAGTGGACGCCATAAATATGGCAAAGGCTGCAGAATATAACAATTTTAAACCTGTGAGTTTCTTCATAGTAGAAAGGAGAATATGTTGTTCTCAATTTAACCATATTTTCCCGCTTGCCAATCAACTGTCCCAATCCAAAGATTCATTTGCATTGTTCGACATGCAACAAAAAATAGCAAAAAAAGAGATTGCTGGTTTTACAATAAAAAATTTCCCATAATTCTTAAATCATATTTAATACACTTAATCTAAGCACACTTTGCAATTTACAAATTGAATATAAATATATTCAAACCTTTAGTTCCAAAATGTACTTTGTTGCATGTGAAGTATTATCAACAAGGAAAGATTTGACTTCAAGCACTACTGTAAATGCTTCCAATTAAAATTAAAACAGGTCAGATATTTATATATACTAGGTATACAATACATACTTGAACCAAATATGCTTCCAATTTTTGAACTAAAAAAATGGAGGTAATCAGTAAATAATTTAAACAATTTACATATATATAATTGAGACATGTAAATATATATTTAAGTATTTACTATATGTGAATTTAATTACCACCATTATGCAAGATTTTTTCTTAATTTTGATCTTTAAAAATTTTATTTGGTTTCTGAGTTTCAGCATTTCTCAATCAAAACAGAGAACTAAAGATGATGCTCTTATTACTAGTTTCTATAACAAAAACACAATGAGACTCAGCAATTTTAAATTAATAAGGAAGTTTAAAAATAGCAAACCAAAGTAATAAAACCAAAGAATAGAACCTAACTCTACTATAACTCTTACAAATTACAAATATAGTTTTTAGTGTTTACCTTTAAAACGTCTTAGATATTCACTACTGAAAATTACAATAGAAAGTATTAAAGGACTATATTATAGTAGCTATTACTATTCCATTCTAAATATTCCATACTCTGAACAATTAATAAAAATTTTCTGTTTATGAATTTCCACACATTCGTTAATAAAAATTTAACTTTGAAAAGTCATAATGAATATACTTGTATTACCTTTCCTTTTTGTGCACAGTTTAATACAACAGGTGGTCCAATAACTCTAGAATTTTTCTTGTATAACTCATTCAAAACAGGATCCTGGAAGTCCATGACTATGAATACATTTTCAAATTCTGGAGAATCCAAATTTTCATATTCTTCCACTGATTCCATCTTTACAAAGGGCATTTTAATTTCCTTGATTTTTTCCATGTAGTTATAGAAATAAAATTTATATATTATAAAATTAATTCATAACTCTCTAAATAAGACCTAGAAATCAATTCAATATCAACATTTTTAATTTCTATTTGTAGAAAACTTAAGTGTTAAGTCATACAGTAAGTATTAAACTTTATAGTGAACAGCTATTTCATTAATTGCTTGTTTGTATTTTAATATACATATCTCCATCTACATTAAGATATTAAATTTTGAACATTAATTATAATAATGGCATAAGCTTCTGGCTTAAGTCATTATAAATCTAGTGTGTATGTAAAATAAAAGTGATAAATTTAAGTGCACACATTTTGATAGAAGGATGCATTAGAAACATATTGCTTTTCCTTCTGACCAAGAAAATGATGCCATACATATGGATCCTTCTTGCACAAATTAACTGTCATTGGAAAAATAGAAAAATCACTATGGCACTTGATATCTACAAAAAGGACATTGGATTAACAATCATTTCAGTATACATGAAGAAATTAAAAGAAAGATGTGAAATATAGATAGTTGCAGCTTGGCAAATATAGGATATAAAAAGGCAAGTTACTATTTACCACTTTATACCGTACATCTAGGAAAAAGAATGAAGTTATTTAAGTGCCTATATGACTCGTGTAAAAAGAGAACCACATAAAATTCTAAATGGGTAAATTATCTGGCCTTTATTTGCTAGGTTGATGTGATAGGCTGAATTACGTACCCTCAAGATTCATATTGATACTTTAATCCACTATACCTTAGAATGTGACTGTATTTGACAGGGCCTTTCCAGACGTAGTTAAGGTAAAATGAAGGCACATGGGTAGGCCTAATGCAATCTGACTGGTGTCCTCATAAGGGGAAATTTGGACACACAACAGATAGCAGGGAGGTGCATGGATAGAAGACCATGTGAAGAAATAGCAACAAAGAGGCAGCTACCTGCAAGCCAAGGAGAAAGGCCTCGGTTTAACCCAAACCTGATGATATCCTGGACTTCTAACCTTAGGAACTGTGAGAAATGTATTTTCTCACAGTTTAAGCCAGCAGTGTGCTGTATTTTGTCATGGCAGCTCTCACAAACTATTACAGCTGGTACAGAGAATTAGATATATTTCATATGCTGATTGTCAGTCATTATAATTTATCATTTTGGAAATAAAGCAAGATTTTAGAATAAAGTTAATGAGATAAAAAGATAAAGAATTTAAAGAAAAGAAGCATACAAAGTCTGTCCAGAAAAAGTAAGCCATTGTTAATATAATGGAACAGTTTGTGTGACATCGATGTAAACTGGCAGCTAAGGAGAGAGGACTGGAATGTGCATGCATGAACAATGACCACTTCACTGTACTACCAGTGGGGGTGGTAGAGGCCATTGAGTGAGTGTGTGTACTGTGTGGCTATCGCATTCAAAATGACTGCGTGAATAGAGCAGTGAATCTGCATCAAATTTTGCGCTAAGCTTCCTTGGAAGCCACTCAGATGATTCAGAAGGCCACAGCTACGGGCAACCAATGATTGGCAGCTACATCATGATAAAGTGCCCATTCATGCAGAATTTTTTTGGCAAAACATCAAATCACCCAGGTGACCTGGCCCTCCTACCACCCAGATTTGGTACCATGTGTCTTCTGACTTTTCCCAAAACTAAATCGCCTTTCAAAGGGAAGAGATTTCAGACCATAGATGAGCTTCAGCAAAATATGAGGGGACATCTGACAGCAACTGGGAGAACGTACAAGGTCCCAAGGTCCCTACTTTAAAGGGGACTGAGGCATCATTGTCCTATGTACAATGTTGTTTGAACCTTGTATTTTCTTCAATAAATGTCTGTTTTTCATATTACATGGCTGGATACCTTCTGGACAGACCTTGTATCTTTGTAAATGCATGATACGTCATTTAAATTTAACAATGCCAAATTACTTTATAAGGATTTCATTATTTGCAGTATATGCTATAGTTTGGGGTTTCAGAAACATCCAAATTTTAAAAATAATATAAAATTGTTTATTTATCTAGCCTCAGAGAGCATTATATACCCTGTGCCTGAGAGCCAATCACCATAAATGGAATATAAGAATACAATCAAGGGAAGTGCAGCATGCCACATGCAACAAAGTGCTTGACCTACCATATTAACAACACTTTTTATTAATTTTTCATCCGATTTTCCAGGACAACTTTCTTTTATTATTACAGGGACATCCATCATTTTAATACTCTGTGGGAAAAAGACTTAAGTATGAGATTAAGAAAACTAAAAAATTTATTTATACACTGATGGAAGACGGCCTTTTAAAAAAACTAAAACTCCATACCTTTAAGGCTTCTATAAGTTCTTCTTGATTGCCAGCTTCTTGAACCAATATCACTCTTGTTTCAACCTGAGGCATTTCTTCTATTAAAATTAGAAATGTTTAAATATGTTTACCAGGAATTAACATCAAAATCAGTAGTTCTGAATCCCTTTTTTGGCTATATCTAGTATGTTTTTCATCTTTGAGATCATAACATTCTCTAAAATTAAAATTACTGAATTCCCAGTTTATTAAAAAAAAGCTTGGCAACATTTCATTTTAAGGAAAATATATTGTACCAAAGCACATAAACATCAGCACTACTCGTGACCAAAGGAAGCATGCACTGTCTTGTATAGCTATCCTCTTCAACAATACATGCAACTTTAGAATAGGTCCATTTACATGGTGGAGTAAGGGAAGAAGTCGCTTTTCACCTAATCAGATATAACTGAATATAATCTAGCTAACAATGTTACAGCTGGACTGCCTTCACATACAGAAAAAGCAATATCCAACAAGATGACAACTTCCTCTTCAAAGTTGGGAAGCATTAATCCACACAAACAAAAATCTACATAGTGTAGATTCTGTCAACAAATACTAGTATCTGTACTCTAGCTTAACAGTGTTACAGTTAAGTCTTAGAAGTCTCTAGTAAGTTTAGTATTAAAATACTGATTTGGTGTTTTAAAGTACATTTACCTTCAACATATGAAGTAGGTCCAATAAATAAGTTTTCCTTACAAGTTTCGGTAACTTTAGAATCAAAAATGGAAGAGTCTGCTAAGCTTGAAATCCCAGAACTGGATGTTAACACACTATTGTCAGCCATTGTTTGTACTCTTCTAAGTTGGCTAAAAAATAATAATAATAAATATGAATAAAAATACCTGAAGCAAAATGATCACTGGGCAAACAAGTATTAGAGGCTCTACTTTTATACTAAAATTTATAAAAAGCATCATCATCTGTTTTTCTTAATATTGAACCAAAGAAAGTCACTCAACTTTTCTGAGCCTTAGTTTCCTCTTCTATAAAATAAAGATACTAATACCCAGCTCACAGGATATAGTAAAAATAACAATCGAAAGTATTCAGAACATCACCTAACATATGAACACCCAAAAGGTACTCAAATTTTATTTTACCTCCTTTCCCTACATCTTACAGTCAACCAACCTACTTCTTTTGCTATATTCATTTATAATACTAACATCCCCAAATAATCTGAGTCAAAAACTGGATCCATTCTCACTCTTCTACCTATTCACCTTCCTCAAAATCCCTACCAATCCCATCTCAAGTATCTCTGGAACTTGACGCCTCTTCTTGAGGAGCAATGCCACAATGGCCACCTATCCATATAGAACAGCTTCAAACAACTTTCTCTAACGCCAGTTTCTTCAGACATCACTCTGTACATGAATTTCAGGGGTGTGATCCTAAGAACAAATGTGACCACATCACTTCCTTGCTGAGAACTTCCACAAGCACTCCTCCCTGTATGATCAAATCCAAATACACCATGCAGTCAGTATACAGTTTGGTCCTAGCTTGGCTGACTGAGGTTTATTCAGCCTCATCTCCTCTAATTCCCCTGGTCTACATACGCTCCAGCCAATGTATTTCTCAGCATTTCTAAAACAGAAATCACTCCACAGAAATGTACTCCACACCTCCTTGCGTTTCATAGCACTCAATTCTCCACCTATCATGTCTTTCAACTCCCAAACCACCACTCTTGACTCATCCTCTATGGATTTCTTTGAACCTCTCATGTATAATTGGACTGTTCCATTATCTGTTATTTTCATAATACCATACAAATGTCTCCCCTATAAAAAAATTAACAAGACGATTATGCATGGGGTTAGTGCCAATATGACTCTGGACTATGAAAAAAGGTTGTTTTTTGTTTTTGTTTTTATTTCTGGAACTTAAGAATTGAAAAGTTGGGCAAGCAGGGAAAAAAGGAAAAATTGAACAGATTTTCATAAATTCAAATGGGGATTTATGTAAATGTATTATCTTGAAGTAAATTTCCAGAACATTATCTGGAGGTACATGTCTGATCTTTCCTACTTTTTCAGATTAATAAAATATACAAGTATCTCCCACCAGATTCTTAGCCAAATGATTGTTTAACTGTATGCTATGACGAAACAATGAGGTATCATTAGCACCTTTCTGGATGGTGATGCTAAGTAGTGTGAAGACGTGGGACACTAATAACAAGAGTCCTAAGCACAACTGTTAGGTCATTCAAGTCAGACAACTCAACTTCCTGTCTCAGCTCTGCACTTAATAGGTTAAGGGACAGTTTCCACATTAGTGAAAAAGTAATAAAACTCAAATCCAGTTGTAATGAAACCTGAACACGTCTTAAAATGAGTGACAATTATTAATTATCTTATAATACTCACAATGTGAAGATTTCTTCTAGTCTTAACCAAACATCCATGTCAATTCTTATTCTGAAGCTCTCTAAAGGGGTGCTCCAATAGTTGTTACAAAAGTCTTTTAGAATCCATGATAATTCTATTTAGTCCTTTTTTTTAAGTCTCTAACACAATTGTTTTCAGTGGGGTGGGGGGCGCTCTAAAGAGTTTCATTCAAAGTCACTTCAAAAAAAAGTCAAGAGGTGAGCTAACCTGCTTTAAGAACATTCTTGAGAAACTTCTGACTAAATACACTAATTCTGACACATATCTCTTGTCATCACAGATAAATCTGTCATTTAAATAAATATTTACTTTTGGTTTCTTTTTAGTGAACTTTCTTTCAGGGTTGAAGAGCTCAATGCAATACTGGATATGTTGGACGTGTTACTGACAACAGTAACAAGATTTATAACATTATAGGACATTATGATTGAATTGCAGACTAATTTATTTAACCCTTAATAGGCGGGAGACATTATTCTAAACCTTTTGCTTGTATGTATTTAATCTCTGCAACAATCCTAAAATGCAAGTACTATATTATGCCCAGCTGATCAAGCAACCTAGAACAAAGAGGTTACGTAACTTTGCCTAAGTCACAACAGTGGTAAACCGGAATTCAAGCCAGAACTGATTCCAGAGGCTGCGCTTTTACCCACTAAGCCATACTTATCTGTCCCGAAGAGGAAGAGCTGGCGTTTTGCGGGAAAACTAAACTGCCCACAGAGAAGACGCCGGGAAGAATCCTGGGGCAAAACCACAGCGTCCTCCGCGATAAGCCCACAAAGGGCGCAGCGGATGGTACCCAGAGCCACCGAGGACAGTGTGGTTTGCCAAGAACCCCTTCCCAACTCTAACCCTTCACCCCGAGACTCTTCTAGAAACATTATCTAGCCAAGTGAGTGATGAAGATGCACAGCAACCTAGTCGACTTCGGGCTCCCGCCCCGCGGCACGGCCCGGGTGCTGGGAGTGCAGTAGGCAGTTTCTCGAGCCGCGAAGTCCGGGCCGGAGTGCTCCGGAAATTCGCGGTCACCGGGGCGGGCTGTCGGACGTAAGCAAAGACGCCCACGGCCCCCGGGACCCTAGCCCACCCCCTCCTCCCCCACCCATACCCACAGTGTCCTCACCACTCTCAAAAACGCCCTGGAATGCCACCTCTTCAAGCTCCGATTACTCTCACCGTTACAGCCATTCCTCGCCGGAGGTGGCCACAGACAATTCAAAAAGTAAGCCTCCCTCTCTAAAAGCCACGCCGATTGGCGCGTGGTGTCAACCTCCTTCCCATTGGCTGTAGTCCCCAGAGGGGCGGAGATTGGTCAATGCTCCCCGCCCAGCGATTGGTTGTACGTGTGTTTCAAATTGACCAACGGCTCGGACGTCGGAACGCCAGGACTTTGTAGAGGAGTCCCCGGATGTGGCCAGAAGGTGGCGGTCGTTTCTCCCCGGCTTCTTCTGCGGGAAGTAGCAGGTGTGTCTATGGCGACCGCTTGTTTACTCTGTAAACACACCGTTTCCTGAGGAAGGTTTGAGCGGATTCTCCTCTCCTCTCTACCTTTTTTTTTTTTTCCAAGCACCACCAAATCCTCTACAGGAAGTCAGTGCCTATGATGATGTTTTTCCCGATTGCTGAGATCTCTTAAGATTTTTCTGCCCGAATGCTTTCTGTGTTAGCAACTGGACTTAAAGGTGTAGCAGAGCCGAGGACAAGATAACTCGGGGGCTCTGCAGATAGACTTTAAATCAGTAGTTCGCTTATTTAAATCCTGATGTACCGAAGGCACTGGACTCTGGTCTAGGGGATTTCGTGGATGATTAAAATAAGTTATTAGTATTCGTCGGACTTTTTTTTTTTAAATACAAACTTGCATTTGAATAAACGTAAAAATATGTCAGGACATTCTAGAATTCCCTGGCGACAAAGTGAATTGCTTCCTGATAACCTCCCCCACCCCCACTGTGAGATTTTTTTGTTGTATTCGTCTAAAGTCTAGCCAAAAATTTATCGTTTTTCCTGTAATAACTATTGTTATTATAAAACAACCTTATTTTCTTTGTTCTCTAAACATAATACCCTATATAATTACAATCTCTTAAGAAAGTACGCCTTCCCCAGGTGAGTTTGCTGACTTCCCACCTAATCAGCTGATTTACCTGAAGGAGAAAAGAGGAATCTGTGGCCAGAATCTTAAATCCTATTAAGAAGGGCAAAACTTGTACTTTGAAATGGAATTCCTCTGAACATCTCAAACAGGTCGTGGGGGTTACAAATTTTTCTGATTTTGTTGGACCACCTTAAAATGCCTAAAAAAATGAGTGAAGCAGTCTGGTAATTATTGATTTCCCTGTTTATAATTGAAGAATAGTTGCAGTCAGCTATTCATTATAATCCTGTGATAACCGTTAGGGCAAAAGAAAAGAAAAACAGTCATTGAAATTTCATTTTGGAATGTGCTTGCATACTTAAACTCGGGTGTGCCCAGCATTCCAAAAATTCTCATCTCTGAACCTATACCCTCGAGACGAGAGAACAGCCTCACTATTTGTCCGCTTAAACAGGCTTTGCACTCAAACCTAAGGACTGATGGAGTGGTATCCCCGCACAAACTATACTGCTGGCCTAACAAAAGTTATACTGGGCTCCTCTAAAGAGATGTGTGGCCGTTTGACTACCAAACAGGCAAGACAGTCGTATAACATTTCCAAGCCATGTAACCTCCAGGAAATGATTTAATCTTTCTGTGTCTCCATTTGTCTTTTTAAAATATGCCATGCTTCTACTTAACTCATACTGTTGTGAGGATTAGAAGACTCGACGTGTGTAATTAAAACATATTCTGGCATACAATAAGCATTCGATTGATGTTAGCTATTAATATTACTACTACTGGAAGCCCTGTAATCTCCTAACGGGACTGATCGTTCTCTGCACTGCCTTCTCACCCCAGGACCACGGTAGCTACAGCGACGCTGCTTCCCTTTGTTTCACCAGAGTCCCAGCCACAAATGCTTGGTGCAAAGAAGACCTCCATTGCATTGTTTTCCTCCCAGAAGAATGGGACAGTCCTTCTACACGAAATCTAATCTCCCTCTTCTCTTCTAAGGGAAATCCTGCTGGACTCAAGCCATCTGCTCTCGTCTAGAGGACGTGGCTGTCGTGCTGCTGCCCTTGGCCAGGCTTCTGTCCCTTTCCAAGGCAGGCCCTCGCTAAGATTCCTTATGCTCCAGGACCCTTCACTGGAAATACAGTTATTGAATTCATATGTCAAGGGGACAAAACTGTTTCAAGTATAAGCTAGCTAGGTAGATAGATAAATCAAAATGAGAAGTTCTTTGAAAGCATAAATCATTAAGAAATTCTTGTGTCATCCACATCTCCTAAGAAGCTGAATGAACAAGTTTCAGACAAAAAAAAAAAAAACACTCAAGGAATTGAACTGAATTTAAGTACTTAGTATATTAAAATGTGTGACATATTTTCCCCAAGCAAAAAGTAATTTCTGAAGTAGGGAAAAATGAAATGGAGAAGATTAAAAGTAAATTATTCCTTTGGAGGATCAATTTACGGACCTCTGTCTTCTGAGTGACACTCTGGATGGTCTTCCCTAAACATCCTCTGATGCTTGCTCCACTTCCAATTTATTCCCTCCTCTTGATTCATAGTTTCTTTCTTTCCCTCTCTCCCTCCCCACTCTATCTCCATCTTATTTTTTCAATCTGTACTCCTTCAGGGCAACAGAAGATGGGAAGTTGGGAAAGTTAGTTTTGGGTTATGGACCATCTTTCTCCACCCAGCCTCATTCACAAGTGTGCACACTGCCCGTGTCATCATTCTTCAAATCAGTATGAAACGGATTTCTCACACTTTTCTAATTAGTTCAAATCTACTAATGAAAGCTAATATATCTGAAAAAATATTATATGTTGCAATGAATGGACATTTGTTGTAACAGACTTTGTTTTTATTACCTAAAGTTGTGATAAAATATATTAGTTATCTGATATCATTTCTAAATATAAAATGTTATTAACCTATAGTCTTATCTATTTAATAATAAATTTAAATGGCTCGGCTCTTCCTGGGTAGATCAGTTGCTTAGAGTGTCATCTGGATAAGACAAGGTTGTGGGTTTGATTTCCTAGTCAAGGCAAATACCATTATCAACCAATGAATACATAAAAAAGTGGAGCAACAAATTGATGTTTTTTCCTCCCTCCCTCTCCCTCCCTTTTGCTCTCTAAGTTAATAAAAAATAAATAAATGAATAAATAAATTTTAAATGTCTCATCATAGGATTAAATGTTTTACTGGAACTAAATATTAACACTGTAATGTCACATAGATCTCAAATAATTGTTTTTCTCCTGTCAGCATCCTTAACCACTCAAGGCATTTATGAAATACATAGCTATATGTAATGCTGCATTATGTACAGTTACAAAGATTCATCCCTCTAAAAACTTATCACTTGAGATTTTTATTTTAAAATGAATAACCATAGAATTCTATTCTATCTTGGAATTATTAACATGTTCCAATTAAAATGTCATATTTCCAAGTTGCTTATAATACAGCATCTTCTAACCTGTCATCTCTGCCTGAAAAACAAGCTTTAGAAATTATAATCACTTCAAGCCATAGGAAGCTATTTTATACACCTTGGTAGCCAGTAATTATGATATGAATCATTGCTTTATTCATATGAATCAAAAGGCTATAAATCACTGGACATAGATTTACAAGACTGCAGATTTAGCACTTAAAATTTTTCACAAATAGAATTAGCTTTCCTTGATGGAGCAAGAGGTTTCCAAATACGATGAGACCATTATTTCAAATTATATAATTTGATTAGTAAAATTTTAGATGTGGAAAAAAAATCTCAGTTCATTAGTCTCATTCTTTATTTTACAAATGAATTTTACCAAGGCTAGCAACAGAGAGGTTATAGTCCTTTACCAAAGTCAGGTAACTAGTTAGTGGCAAAACCAACATCAAAGTTTTATTTCCATTAATCTATTCTGTCTCTTATTAAAGATATATTTATATTTTACATTTTACAATATACATTATATTTATTCATAATGCTTGTATTTTTTACCTTTGAAAATGTTAAAATGCTTTCAGTTCCATAAGAGACTTGTTGGTCTTGTTCACCATTGTATTTCTAGCACCTAGCAATAGTTCCTGATAGACATTACAGTCTCCAAGGTTGCATGAATAGCATTGCAATTAATCTGCAAGAATCCATATCTCCTTCTAATTCATTCTCCAGCCTGCATTCAGAGTGGCATTATGCAAATCTAAAGTCATCATATCATCACCTGCATGGTCTGACCTCTACCTGCATTTCCAGCTTCATCTTACACCATGTTCACTTTCTTTCTCGAGTTTTCTACCTGCCTTCCTTGTCAAAGATTTTTGCACCTGCTCTTCTCTCTACCAGCTCCTATAATCCCCATTTTTTTAACCTAGAGTAGATAACTTCTATTCATCTTTTAGCTTTTGCTCAATTACCACTCCTAGGAAGGTCTCCCCTAACTAACCACAGCTTCAGAATTCCCATTACACAATCCCCAGTACCATGAGTATTTCTTTTGTAGTACTTATCAAAGATGTGATTATTAGATTAATATTTGTCTACTCCACTATCTAAGCTACTTGAAGGTAGGGAAAACATCCTTTTATCCACCATTTCATCCACAGTGCCTAACACAGAGAAAGCACTTGATTGAATTTTTGTTGGAATACAACTGAATAAATTAATGGATGAATAAAAATTGTTGTTATAATATCAGTGGTGTTTTTTCCAAAGATACTAAAGAAAGTTTCTATTATTTTTATTTCTTTCTAACCCATTTTTATGAATTTTTCAATAAAAAAATTAAGTGGAATGTTTCCAACATTAATAAATTTACAAGGATGAAATAATTCCATCTTTGACATTTGCATATATTTTCCAACAATTGAATGATTCTTGTATCACAGCTAATCAAGCTTTAAATGGAAGTGAGTTAATGTCACTGGTAATAAACAGATTCAGTTAAAACTTGCCACTGTTTATAAACATAAGAAATTATGCATATAAAAAATTCAGTTTTCTTATAATCTACACAATCATACATTATTCGCTGGCAGCCATACATTGCTTCTTCCACACTAACAACTGACTTGCAAATAAATATCTGGGATATCCCAGTTATCTGTCTGCCAGTTTAGTTTTGACAGCAATTCCATCTTTGT